CCAGCTCTGCGTAGGGACCACTGGGCTCAAAAGGCTCGTCGGGAAAGGGGCCAGTGAGTCTGTGGTCAACAGCAAGAGGTGTGGGCTGTGTGGTGGAGAACTGGAAGTCGAACCGCCGAAGGACCTGCTGCACCATGTGTGACTGAGTCAGTGTGATGGTGCGAGCGGCTCTGTCCCTGGTGATCTGCAGGCCAAGGTAGCGCTGCAGTTCACCTAGGTCAGTGCACGTGTGTCTCTTCTGCAGTTCGGACTTCACCTGAGCCAGAGCTGCCCTGTCTGCTGTGGCAAAGACCAAGTCGTCGACGTACACTAGTACAAAGAAAGGAGTGGAACCAGTGCGAACAAACAGCGACGGGTCGGCAGAGGAAGGACAAAACCCAAGGTCACGAAGCGTGGAGCGAAGAGTGTCGTGCCACTCACGGGGCGACTGGCGGAGACCGTAGACTGGCCGTCTCAGGCTCCACTGGGTCCCAGGTGGGAAGGTGTCAGTGAAACCAGGAGGGCGGCGCAGCCAGATCTCCTCGTGTAGTCGGCCCTGGAGAAACGCAGTAGAGAAGTCAAGGGAGTGCAGCTCGTAGTCTCGCTGTGCTGCTACGTGCAGTAACACCCGAAGAGTAGTCATCTTCGGGGTCGGGGCGAAGGTCTGGAAGAAGTCAACTCCCTCACGCTGACTGAAACCCCTAGCCACGTAGCGCGCCTTGAACACAGGCGGTGAACCAGGCGGCCGCTTCACCTTGAAGAGCCACATGCCATCGACTACGTTCGCCCTGAGAGGGGGAACTGCGTCGACGTAGGTGCCTGTGGATCTCCAAGACGCTAACTCCGAGGCCATAGCCGCTTTCCACTGTGAGGCCCACGCCCCTGACACTGCCTCGCGGTAAGTGCGAGGAGTCGGTATGTCAAGGGCGTTGGGGTCTCCCTCAGGGGATAGCAGCATGGCACAGACAGAGGGAGAAGCGGCTGCCCAGTACTCCAGCTCAGACTCTCTGTCCTCTAGGACGTCACAGCCAAGGGCAAACCCACCCCCGACGGACAGAGGACGGGAGGGAGGAGCTGGCACCACACGGGTGGTGTAGTCAAGGCGACTGGCGGCAGCAAACTCAGCGACAGCGGCAGTGAGAGCCGAAACAGACGACGGAGGGAAACGAGAGTCGGTGACAAGAGTGGCGAGGACACGAGAGACAACAAGACGAACAGCGCGGTAGTAGTCAGTGACAGGAGTAGGGGGGAAAGGGAGAGAGGACGGAGGTGGACACGGGAGAACGGACTCAGAAGGAGGACGACGAAGAGACGAACAAAGGAGGGCAGTGCGGAGGTCGGTAACGGGAGACGAGTGACGAGCACGCGGAGGACAGGGACGGACACGAGAGTGCGGGACACCAGGTGGAGGAGACTGCGGTGGAGGAGAAGACCAGACCGCCGGACTGGCGTCAGGAGGAGGAAACGTGGGACCAAACGCTGGAGGGGACGGAGTGTGAACAGGAGGAGAAGAGGGAAGACCAAGGGCCCGAAGGCCACTCACGGGTGGGAACAACTGCCGCTCCAGAGGGAGCTGCTGTGGTCGCAGCTGCGGCGGCGGTGTCTGCTGCTGGTGCGGCTGCTGCTGCTGCGGCTGCTGCTGCTGCTGCTGCCGCTGCTGCTGCTGCTGCTGCTGCTGCTGCTGCTGCTCCAGCAGGTCCAACTGCCGCAACTCCTGCCGCTCCCTCTCCAACAGCACCTGCTCCTCACGCTCACGCCGACGGGCCGCCTGGAGACGTGTGTCGTGGCGGTGGGGAGGCGGAGTGGACTCCGCAGAACCAGTGTCTCCTGCTCCAGTCTCCTCAGAACCAGCACCTCCAGTGCCAGCGCCTCCAGCACCAGCACCCCCAGGACCAGCACCTCCTGTGCCAGCACCTCCAGCTCCAGCACCCCCAGAACTAGTACCGCCAGTGCCAGGACCTCCAACTCCAGCACCCCCAGAACTAGCACCTCCAGTGCCAACACCTCCAGCTCCAGCACCCCCAGAGCTAGCGCCACCTGCGCCAGCACCTCCAGCTCCAGCACCCCCAGGACTAGCACCTCCAGTGCCAGGACCTCCAGCTCCAGCACCCCCAGGGCTAGCGCCACCTGCGCCAGCACCTCCAACTCCAGCACCCCTCAAACGAGCACCCCCGGACCGAGTACCGCCAGTGGCTGCACCTCCAGCTCCAAAACCAACCGAGTCCACAGTAGCCTGTCGCGGAAGTACCGAAGGCTGCTGAGGGGACTGTGAGGAGGACTGCGGGGAGGGAGCCGCTACCTGACGCGCGACCGAGGGTAGAGGGGTAGCGTGAGACACACCTGACGGGGCAGGACCAGGGGGGGGTGGGGGTACCGGAGGAGCGGGAGCAGGGGGAAGAGAGGGTGCGAGGAAAAGGGGGGGAAGGGGAACCGGGAGACCTCGACAGGGGTACCTGGTGTAGTAGGACACTGACTCGTCGAACCGGACGTCACGGGAGTCTAGGAACTGGTGGAGGGGCGGGTGGTAAAAGGACCAGTCGGCCGAGGCTACCGGGAAACCAAGGAAGACACAGGGGACGGCGCGAGCCGAGAGCTTGTCCGCAGAGGTGTCGCGGACAAGCGCAAGGCAGCCCCAGACACGAAAAGCTGACCCAACACCAGGGGACCCGGTCCAAAGACTGGTCGGTGAAGCCTCTGGCCGCGAGACGCGCGGCTGGAGGTTCAGCTGGTGAGCGGCGTAGCGAACCGCGTAGGGCCACAGAAAATGGGGCGCACGGGCATGAATCATGGACGTGCGGGCGATGTCCATGACCAAGCCAATGCGGCGCTCAGCAACCCCATTCTGCTGTGGGGACTCCGGCAGCGTCCAGGACTGTACAATGCCCTGCTCGCCGCAGAATCCGGCAAGAATGCCTGAGCGAAAATCACCCCCACGGTCAGAGTGGAGACAGGAGACACGACGGCCACGAGTGCCCTCAGTGGCGAGAAGCCACCGGATCAGCGTAGAAGTCACCTCGGACTTCTTCGCGAGAGGAAACACCGTGGTGTACCTGGAGAAGTCGTCGACGACCACCAAAAAGTAGCGCTCCCTCTCAGGTCCCTGCGTAGGTGTAGGGCCCCAGACATCCAAGTGGAGTGTCTGGAAGGGAGCAGTGGCCGGACGAAGGGAGGAGTGCGGAGTGGCACAAAGACGGCCGGCGACGCAAGGAGTGCACGGCGGCGCAGGCGAGGGAGGGAGCGACGGGAAGACGCGAGGGAGACCTGAGACAAGACGGTGACTAGCCATAGTGCGGAGGCGGGGGATCGACGCGTGGCCAAGACGGTGGTGCCACAAGACGGTCCGGTGGGTGAAAGACCGGCACGAGCAAGACGCAGCAACTAGACCGGACACAGCAACCTGACCGGACACAGCAACCTGACCGGACACAGCAACCGGTGGGGACGCAGTAACCTGACCGGACTCTGCTACCGGGGGGGACGAAGCAACCTGACCAGACGCAGCTACCTGCGGGGGCGGAGTGTGCAGGACGAAGAGACCTGAGTGGGGCTCTCTGGTGAACGTGGCAAGAACTGCCCCGGTGGAAGAGTCCGTACAGATCGCAGTCCTCCCGTGCGCAGGAAAAGTGACTGTGATCCCCCGGCCCTGAAGGTATCCAACACCCACCAAGTTCCGAGAGAACGAGGGGATGTAGAGACCAGTGAGGAAACCAGAGGGGACAGCTGGGCACGGGAGAGTGGTCGAGCTGCGAGCAACTGCTGGTCCTGAAGTAGGATCAGCCAGGGCAACTGGGACTGGAGCCGAAAGAGGTGTGACAGTGGTGTGGTCGCGAAAGAAGCACTGGGACGCGCCGGAGTCCACCGTGAAGGAGAGCGACGCAACAGCAGTCGTCACGGCTGGGCTAGTGACTACACAAGCACCTACACTAAAAGCACAAGTACCTACACTAGCAACAGGCAAAGGTCCTAAGCTAGGTACACGCAAACCAAGAGATCCGTACGTGACAGAATAAACAGCATCCATAGACATATCAAACACAGGGTAACCACTACGAAACAAACCGGGCCAGATCGGGGGAACCGACTCAGGCCCAAAACGCTCACGGTATAGGTCGTCGAGGCGACTGTAGCAGCGCGGTGCAGAGTGGTCAGGACGCCAGCAGGTAGTGCCAGCACCAGGGCCGGTCAGGATCCGGTACTGGCAGGGGCCGACGTCGCGGCCAACGCGACGAGCCCCCAAGCCGGCTGGGCCGCTGCTGCAGCCAACGCTACCCGAACCGCCAGGCCGCCACGGCTGCTGAGGGCGCCACAACTGCTGAGGGCAGAGCTGCTGCTGAGGGCGCCACTGCTGCTGCGGGTGCCACTGCTGAAACTGCCACTGCTGCTGTCCCTGCTGCTGGAGAACCCTAGTGGACGCCATGATAAAGGCTAGGAGCGGCAGGAGCTAGGGACGGCCACGAGAACAACTAGGAGCGCGAGGTGAAACTAGACGAGGAACGGCTGGAGCACGGAGCACACTGAGCTAGGAGCGCCAGGTGAAACTAGGCGAGGAACGACCGGTGCTGGAACGGCTGGAGCTGAAACGGCTGGAGCTAGAACGGCTAGAGCGAGAACGGCTGGAGCGAGAACGGCTGGAGCTAGGCACGGCTGGAGCTAGGAGTGGCTGGAGCTAGAACGGCTGGAGTGAGAACGGCTGGAGCTAGAGACTGTAAGTGCGGCTGTCGGCTGCCGCTAGTGGAGCCAGTGGCAGTGGAAAGTACGTGCGACAAAGGGGCTGCAGTACTGACGGCTGCGGGAGGTAGGGAACTGTGCAGGTCGTCCGGCAAGCAGGAACGCGGGCGACAGTTGCAGCCCCCCACCTTGAACCCCCTTTTTTTTTTTTTTTTTTTTTTAGGGTTTAATTAATTAATTTTATTTTTTGGCGCTAAAGCGCTGCGGGGCGCGCTGCCTGCAGGGTGTGCTGCCTGCAGGGCGCGCTACCCGCGGGGCGCGCTGCCTGCGGAGCGCGCTACCCGCGGGGCGCGCTACCCGCGCGGCGCGCTGCCTGCGGGGCGCGCTACCCGCGGGGCGCGCTCCCTGCGGGGCACGATTTCTGCGGGGGGCGCGCTACCTGCGGGGCGGGGCGACGCGGCGGGCTAGGGGCAGGGCGCTCGGGCGCGCACGGGCTAGGGGCAGTGCGCACAGGCGACGTTACGGGCTGGGGCAGGGCGCATGGGCGACGTGACGGGCTGGGGCAGGGCGCACGGGCTACGCGACGGGCTAGGGCAGGGCGCACGGGCGACGCGACGGGCTGGGGCAGGGGCCACGGGTTACGCGACGGGCTGGGGCGGAGGCGCGATACGGAGGGCGTGGAGGGCGCGTAGGGGAGGGCTAGGCGCGGAGGCGCGGATGGCGCGTTACGGAGGGCGCGGAGGGCGCGTTACGGAGGGCGCGGATGGCGCGGAGGCCGCGGAGGCCGCGTTACTCGAGGCTAGGGCGCGGAGGGCGCGGAGGCCGCGTTACTCGAGGCTAGGGCGCGGAGGGCGCTAGGGCGCGTGGAGGAGGGCGCGTAAGGCGCGGAGGCGCTCTAGAGCGCGGAGGGCGCAAGGGCGCGGAGGGTGCTAGGGCACGTGACGGAGGGCGCGTAAGGCGCGGAGACGCTCTAGGGCGTGGAGGGCGCGAGGTAGGCTAGGCTAGGCAAGGATTCTAAACCTACTCGTGATACCATCTCAGAAAGTGAATGCAACGGAATGTTTGACTTAGGAGAGCAAGGCATACAAATAGAAACCCTAAGAGTGTTGTACTCCTTAGAGTGCTACTCACTGCAGCCTACAACCAATAACAACATTTGACACTTAGCTACAAAAGAATATATTGCTTCACTATGTGAAGACCACAGATATTTCTCACATGTAGCAACTACACAGCAAAATACAGTACCGCACATGATGCCTTCCCCTAGCTGCCACGACACGTTATTATCTAACCACATCATCTAGCCATGACATCAATTCATGCGAACAACTGTGCTCCCCATGCTCTCTACAACACTTGCCTTCTGCTAATGCAACCTGCAAGCCCCCTTGACATAAACCACTGCCTCCAGATGCCCCCAGTACTGCTACTGCTGCTGGCCCTAGCTGAAAAACAGACGTGTTATTTTCTAGCAAACCCTCTCCACCGGTGCCGAGGAAAAGCACTGCAGATGTTAGCGCAGCAGCTAGTAACGAGAGCATGAACGTGGGACCCTGAGCGGCGGAGGCAGAGGACTTGACGGGTGGAGGCGGAGAGAGATTGGCTCCCACAATGATTGTGACGTTGTATTCCCCGCCATCAGCTGTGATTGTGCCCACGGAACCTGTATACACGCAGAGGGAGGAAAAGACAAGTGGGGGCATTGTGTCTTTTGCGTTGACCTAGAAGCCAGCTCGAGAGATTGGCTCCCACAAAATTGGTGACATTGTATTCCCCTCCGTCAGCTGTAATCGTGCTCACGGAACCTGTGACGCATGAAGGGAGAACAGGAACAAGAAGCATTTGGATTTGAGATGCCTCTGAGTTGTATCGAATCCGCATGTCGGCTGATACTGTGCCTGTGGAACCTGCGAGTGAGGAGGAAGGACAGAAAACGCGAGGACCTGGTTTCCCCCGACATCTCAGAGTTTGATTTCTGAGTCGACTCAAAAGTCACCTCGAGGACCTGGCTTCCCCCGACATCTCAGAGTTTGATTTCTCATTGCTGGTTGTAAAAAACTTATCGAAATCGACTCACTCAGTAGCCTCAAGAGCTTACTTTTCAATAGACTCAGAAGTTTAAAAAGAAGTTGCAAAAGTGCAACGAAACTCACAGTCGTAGGGAGCCCATCCGAGCTTCATGTTGTCTGTGTCATAGACCACAAGGTGGTTGCGCAGGACTATGTCTGGGAGAGGGAGAGAGAGAGAGAGAGGAGAAAGAGAGAGAGAGAGATTGCGCAGGACTGTGGCGAGCCTCCTCTTGTTCCGCTTGTCGACACGATGGCTGCAACGCAAGCATATTGTACGCTTGATAACAGTGGCTATAATGAAAGCATAATGTATCTTAATTGGCAGTAAGTGGAAATTCAAGCAAGGTGTGTCTCCAACGACAGTGACTGCAATGACAGTGAATGCAGCAAACGCAAGGTGTACCTCCAATGGCAGTGACTGTACCGAATGCAAGGTGTACCTACCTCCAATGACAGTGACTCTAACAAATGCAAGCTGTACCTCCAATGACAGTGATGCTAGAAAAATCTCCTCCAAGCATGGGTTGCCATCCTATGCACGCAGCCATGACCACCCCCTGTCAGCCACACACATACACAAGGACACAAGGACAGACCCAGGACGAGTATATTCCTGAGGCGCCCAAAAAAGAGGTGACTTTTGAGTATATTCCTCAAAAGTCAGCACGAGTATATTCCTGAGGCGCCCAAAAAAGAGGTGACTTTTGAGTATATTCCTCAAAAGTCAGCACGAGTATATTCCTGAGGCGCCCAGAAAACATGAGCACCCCCTGCCACACACACACGAGCAGACAAGAGCAGATGCAGCACGAGGCAGTGCAGGAGGAGAGGGGAAGAACGCTGGACTCATGTTGGAGTGCAGGAGGTGAGAGGAGGGGTAGATATCTGGAGGGTAAGAGGATGGACTCACATTGGAGTGCAGGAAAACATAGCCGGGGGGTTCAACGGTCATGTCTTTTGAGTCAACTCAAAACACACCAGGAGGGGTGGGAGGGGGGTAGACGCTGGGCTCACATTGGAGTGCAGGAAAACATAGCCGGGGGGTTCAACGGTCATGTCTTTTGAGTCAACTCAAAACATACCAGGAGGGGTGGGAGGGGGGTAGACGCTGGGCTCACATTGGAGTGCAGGAAAACATAGCCGGGGGGTTCAACGGTCATGTCTTTTGAGTCAACTCAAAACACACCAGGAGGGGTGGGAGGGGGGTAGACGCTGGGCTCACATTGGAGTGCAGGAAAACATAGCCGGGGGGTTCAACGGTCATGTCTTTTGAGTCAACTCAAAACACACCAGGAGGGGTGGGAGGGGGGTAGACGCTGGGCTCACATTGGAGTGCAGGAAAACATAGCTGGGGGGTTCAACGGTCATGTCTTTTGAGTCAACTCAAAACACACCAGGAGGGGTGGGAGGGGGGTAGACGCTGGGCTCACATTGGAGTGCAGGAAAACATAGCCGGGGGGTTCAACGGTCATGTCTTTTGAGTCAACTCAAAACACACCAGGAGGGGTGGGAGGGGGGTAGACGCTGGGCTCACATTGGAGTGCAGGAAAACATAGCCGGGGGGTTCAACGGTCATGTCAGCCCCTTCAAAATGCAGGGTCACTGTTGGAAAGTAATTGGAAAGTTCCTCGTATTTGCTGTGATGGGGAGGCAAAACCACACAGGACGGACATCAGAGAAGGGAACATGTTTATACATGTAGGAACGTGGGTGGAGATTTCTATGCATGACCAGCTGCATTTGCTATGCGAGGTATTTGCCATTCATGCCACCACAGCTGTCCGTGGTATGAGGTATTGCTCTTATAAGATGGCCACACTACTGCTGGTTGTAGGCTGTAGCGCAGCTGGCTGTAGCGCAGCTGGCTGTAGCACAGCTGGCTGTAGCGCACTCACTTGGAGCCAAAGTCATAGCAGAGGAAGTCTGACGTGGCACCCACTTGGGGTAGGGTGATGAGGGCGGTAACCTGGTAACAAGGGCAGAGAGGCGGAAGGGAGGAGGGGTGGGGTTGGAGGTGGGGGGAGGGGATTGGTGGAGGAGGGGGGAGTGGGGAAGGGGAGAGTTCCAACAAATGGGTATGAGGAGCATGGCAAGGCACACACACCCTGCCTGCAAGCAATCACGCAAACACAGAGCCTGCCCTGTCCTACGTGACTCCCTACTCTCCGCGTCCAGCCACGTGTTGTAAATGGGAGTGGGGAACATGGCGAGAGTGGGGCCGCTGTCCATGATCACCCCTCCCCCCTGCAGGCTGCCCGACTCAAAGGCACAAGTCCGCTGCTTGCAATGCAGCCACACACACACCTGCCCTTTTCTGATTGATGACTCCGAACTTGCCGCGTCCAGCCATGTGTTGTGGATGGGAGTGGGGAACATGGCGAGAGTGGGGCCGCTGTCCATGATCACCCCTCCCCCCTGCAGGCTGCCCGACTCAAAGGCACAAGTCCGCTGCTTGCAATGCAGCCACACACACACCTGCCCTTTTCTGATTGATGACTCCGAACTTGCCGCGTCCAGCCATGTGTTGTGGATGGGAGTGGGGAACATGGCGAGGGTGGTGCCGCTGTCCATGATCACCCCTCCCCCCTGCAGGCTGCCCGATCCAATGGTGCACACACCCACCCCGCCTGCAACCACGCACACACACGCCTGTCCTTTACTACCTAACTTATAACTTACTGCATTAAGCCACGTGTTGTAGATGGGAGTGGGGAACATGGCGAGGGTGGTGCCGCTGTCCATGATCACCCCTCCCCCCTGCAGGCTGCCCGACCCGCCAAACACGTCCTGCTGTGAGGAGAAGGACGACTGGTCGATGCCTGGCAGGCGCTGCCCGCCCACTGAGATGCCGTTCAGCTGCACATAGTAGTGCGATCTGATGGAAGGTTTGTAGGGGTATGAGGGTTGAGTGTGTGTGTGTGTGAGTTGTCAAACATGAGGAGAAGGACGACTGGTCGATGCCTGGCAGGCGCTGCCCGCCCACTGAGATGCCGTTCAGCTGCACATAGTAGTGCGATCTGATGGAAGGTTTGTAGGGGTATGAGGGTTGAGTGTGTGTGTGTGTGAGTTGTCAAACATGAGGAGAAGGACGACTGGTCGATGCCTGGCAGGCGCTGCCCGCCCACTGAGATGCCGTTCAGCTGCACATAGTAGTGCGATCTGATGGAAGGTTTGTAGGGGTATGAGGGTTGAGTGTGTGCGTGTGAGTTGTCAAACAGGAGGAGAAGGACGACTGGTCGATGCCTCGCAGGCGCTGGCCCCCACTGAGACGCCGTTTAACTGCACATAGTAGTGCGATCTGATGGGGAGGTGGGGAGGGGTTGGGCAAGCGGTGAGGTTGGGATGGGAACACAGAGGGGGGGTGTGAGGGGTGTGTGAGCCACTGAACGCGTCCTGCTGTGAGGAGAAGGACGACTGGTCGATGCCTGGCAGTCGCTGGGCCCCCACTGAAATGACGTTTAACTGCACCTGATGGGGGGGTTGAAAGGGGGTGAGGGAGCCTTGAAGTGAAGCATTGGGGATGAAGTACCCTTCATCTATGCTCACACAAATGCATCTGTGTGAGCATAGATCTGCTTTTGAGTCGACTCATGAGCAGATGAAGTACCCTGCATCTGTGTGAGCATAGATCAAGCACCCCACATAAACCCCTCACCTCACCTGCTGGATTCCCTCACCTGTCGTCCAGCAGGCTCGTGTACAGCAGCCCATCCTCCAGGACCGTCCCATCAATCAAGCACCCCTCATCAACCCCTCATCTGCCCAACCCCCCCTCACCTGTCACCCCTCGCCCCTCACCTGTCGTCCAGCAGGCTCGTGTACAGCAGCCCATCCTCCAAGACCGTCCCATCAATCAAGCACCCCTCATCAACCCCTCATCTGCCCAACCCCCCCTCACATGTCACCCCTCGCCCCTCACCTGTCATCCAGCAGACTCGTGTACAGCAGCCCATCCTCAAGAACGGTCCCAAAGATCAAACTCCCACCGCCCAGCTCCTCCCCTCCCAGACAGTGTCTAACCTGTTACCACATTAACCCCTCACCTGCCACAGCCCCTCACCTGTCGTCCAGCAGACTCGTGTACAGCAGCCCATCCTCAAGAACCGTCCCGAAAATCAAACTCCCTCCTCCAAGCTCCTCGCCTCCGAGACAGTGCGCGAAGACGCCGTTGGTCTTGCGTGCTGCCTGCATCTGAGTGAGCATGGAGAGCGCCCCCATTAACCCCTCACCTGCTGCATTCCCCTCACCTGTCGTCCAGCAGACTCGTGTACTGCAGCCCGTCTTCCAGCACAGTCCCAAAGATGAGACTCCCACCGCCCAGCTCCTCGCCTCCGAGACAGTGCGCAAAGACGCCGTTGGTCTTGCGTGCCGCCTGCATCTGAGTGAGCATGGAGATTGCCCCCATGTTGAGCCCCTCACCTGCCAAACATCCCTCACCTATCATCCAGCAGACTCGTGTAGAGTAACCCATCTTCCAGCACCGTCCCAAAGATGAGACTCCCCCCGCCCAGCTCCTCGCCCCCCAAACAGTGCGCAAAGACGCCGTTGGTCTTGCGTGCCGCCTGCATCTGAGTGAGCATGGAGAGCGCCCCCATGTTGAGCCCCATCACCCCGTCCACTAGGTGGTTGCCCGATACCAGGTTGCCTGACTGCTGGAAGCCGCAGCTGCAGGTGGGGGTAAGGGTGCAAGAGGGCGAGGGGAGCAGAGAGAAGAAGTACAAGGGAGGGGGAGAGAGAGTGAGCATGGATGGCGCACCCATGTTGAGCCCCATCACCCCGTCTACTAGGTGGTTGCCCGATACCAGGTTGCCTGACTGCTGGAACCCACAGCTGCAGGTGGGGGTAAGGGTGCAAGGGGGCGAGGGGAGCAGAGAGAAGAAGTACAAGGGAGGGGGAGAGAGAGTGAGCATGGATGGCGCACCCATGTTGAGCCCCATCACCCCGTCTACTAGGTGGTTGCCCGATACCAGGTTGCCTGACTGCTGGAACCCACAGCTGCAGGTGGGGGTAAGGGTGCAAGAGGGCGAGGGGAGCAGAGAGAAGAAGTACAAGGGAGGGGGAGAGAGAGTGAGCATGGATGGCGCACCCATGTTGAGCCCCATCACCCCGTCTACTAGGTGGTTGCCCGATACCAGGTTGCCTGACTGCTGGAACCCACAGCTGCAGGTGGGGGTAAGGGTGCAAGAGGGCGAGGGGAGCAGAGAGAAGAAGTACAAGGGAGGGGGAGAGAGAGTGAGCATGGATGGCGCACCCATGTTGAGCCCCATCACCCCGTCTACTAGGTGGTTGCCCGATACCAGGTTGCCTGACTGCTGGAACCCACAGCTGCAGGTGGGGGTAAGGGTGCAAGAGGGCGAGGGGAGCAGAGAGAAGAAGTACAAGGGAGGGGGAGAGAGAGTGAGCATGGATGGCGCACCCATGTTGAGCCCCATCACCCCGTCTACTAGGTGGTTGCCCGATACCAGGTTGCCTGACTGCTGGAACCCACAGCTGCAGGTGGGGGTAAGGGTGCAAGAGGGCGAGGGGAGCAGAGAGAAGAAGTACAAGGGAGGGGGAGAGAGAGTGAGCATGGATGGCGCACCCATGTTGAGCCCCATCACCCCGTCCACTAGGTGGTTTCCCGATACCAGGTTGCCTGACTGCTGGAAGCCACAGCTGCAGGTGGGGGTAAGGGTGCAAGGGGGCGAGGGGAGCAGAGAGAAGAAGTACAAGGGAGGGGGAGAGAGAGTGAGCATGGATGGCGCACCCATGTTGAGCCCCATCACCCCGTCCACTAGGTGGTTTCCCGATACCAGGTTGCCTGACTGCTGGAAGCCACAGCTGCAGGTGGGGGTAAGGGTGCAAGAGGGCGAGGGCAGCAGAGAGAAGAAGTACAAGGGAGGGGGAGAGAGAGTGAGCATGGATGGCGCACCCATGTTGAGCCCCATCACCCCGTCCACTAGGTGGTTTCCCGATACCAGGTTGCCTGACTGCTGGAAGCCACAGCTGCAGGTGGGGGTAAGGGTGCAAGGGGGCGAGGGGAGCAGAGAGAAGAAGTACAAGGGAGGGGGAGAGAGAGTGAGCATGGATGGCGCACCCATGTTGAGCCCCATCACCCCGTCCACTAGGTGGTTGCCCGATACCAGGTTGCCTGACTGCTGGAAGCCGCAGCTTGTGAAGGACCTCACTCTCCCTCCCCTCTTCCCCCTCTCCCTCTCTTCTCCCTCTCCCCTCTCCCCCCCCCTCCCCTCCTCCCTGACCACCCCCTCCTCCCCTCCCCGCCCACTCACCCGAACAGGTAGTCCATGCCAGCAGCGTCGCCTCCTAATGTAGAAAAGGTAAGCCGGTCCCTAACGAGATAGCCGGTGCTGCTGGAGTTGTCCGCGTACTGAATGCCGTAGTAGCACCGCGGGTCACCAGCTGGGAGGAATACAGCATGCCACTCCCACCCACTCACCCGAACAGGTAGTCCATAGAGGCAGGATCTCCCCCCAGAGTGTAGAACGTGAGCTTATCCTTGACCAGGTAGCCGGTGCTGCTGGAGTTGTCCGCGTACTGAATGCCGTAGTAGCACCGCGGGTCGCCCGAGCTGGGACGAATGCAGCATGCCCACACCACACAGACAGCCCCTCCCTTCCCACCCACTCACCCGAACAGGCAGTCCATGGAGGCGGGGTCACCCCCGAGAGTGGCAAAGCTGAGCTTATCCCTAACGAGGTAGCCGGTGCTGCTGGAGTTGTCCGCGTACTGGATGCCGTAGTAGCACCGCGGGTCGTCCGAGTTGGGAGGAATGCAGCATGCCCACACCACACAGACAGCCCCTCCCTTCCCACCCGCTCACCCGAACAGGTAGTCCATGGAGGCGGGGTCACCCCCGAGAGTGGCAAAGCTGAGCCTATCCCTAACGAGGTAGCCGGTGCTGCTGGAGTTGTCGGCGTACTGGATGCCGTAGTAGCACCGCGGGTCGCCCGAGTTGGGATACAGGATGTCCAAGCAGCCCTGCCCGAGCGTTCGTCTGGTCTGCTGCAGCGCGGAGCAGGTGGAGGTGCCACAGTCAACCACCTGGTGATGGGGTGAAGGGAGAGGGGAACAGGGAGGTGGGGTACGAAGGGGTGTGTGTAAAAGCAGCCCTCCGAATGAGCCGTCCGATCCGAGCTGGGAAAAGGATGTCTAAGCAGCCCTGCCCGAGCGTTCGTCTGGTCTGCTGCAGCGCGGAGCTTGTGGAGGTGCCGCAGTCAACCACCTGGTGTGAAAAAGAATGAAAGGAAGAGAGGAAGAAAGAAAGAACGAGAAGCCAACAAGCAAACCAAGGGCGGGAAGGTGGTCGAGAATCACGGAAGGCTAGGGGAGAATCAAGGAGACGTAGACATGCTGCAACGTATGCATGCAGTGGAGGAGAGGAGAGGAGAGGAGAGGAGAGGAGAGGAGAGGAGAGAGAGCCAGGGGGGGCCGCGATGCCATCTCAGGGAATAAACAGGAGGTGCGAGACGGCACGAGTCGTCGTCGTGCCTTGACTTCACGTTGGCTCGAGGTGACTTTTGAGTCGACTCAAAAGTCACCTAGCATCAACACATGCATTGATGGAGGCGCATCGAGTTTGACCAGTTCTTGAGGCGTCTCAATCTCAACACCATGTTCCATCCATCCATCCATCACAGCGAGTGCCGTGCCCCCATTTCAAACCGCATGCACTGTTAGTTGCGACGGATCAACCCACCCTCCCACCCAACACCTCCCCACGCACCATTCCGTCCATCCACCACCTCCCCTCCCCATGCACACACAAACCCACCCAGTACCTTCCCACCCACCAACCCACCCACGCACCAACCCACCCACCCACCAACCCACCCACCCAGCACCCCCTCCAAGCAACAGCCCACTCAACTGACCTGAGCTGTTGACGACTTGGTAATGTCGTAAGGGGGGGAAAGGACCTGTGGGAGACACGGGGCGTTGGGGAGAGGCAGCAGGGTGGGGGGAAGGGAGGAGGAGGAGAGTATTGCTGAAGGAGAGAGATTCTTCTTTTCAGGGATGTCAGGGATCAGTGACTTGAGAATGTCTGAAGACACGACACGAAAACCCTTCCGCCTCAGCCTTTAACCGTTTCTTACTCCTCTGAACTCCCACGCACCACTGTGGAGCCGACTGGGCAGGCGAGGCAGGGCGCGCAGGTGACCCACATGACGTGCAAACCCCACCTCCTCAAACTTTCACCGTCTCGTACTCCTCTAAACTCCCCATAACGTGCAAACTCTAACTCCCACGCACCACTGTGGAGGAGACTGGGCAGGCGAGGCACGGCGCGCAGGTGACCCACATGACGTCGCTGCCCGTGTCAATTTGCACCTTAAACTTTTGCACGGGCTGCCCGAGCTGCACCTCCGCCCAATAGAGGCTGGGGACAGAAAACGAGGGGCAGGGTGACAAAGTCAGGGTGAGTGAACTCAGGGCTAGTGCGAGTAACAAGGATGAACCGGGAGGGGACTATTCGTGGAATGGGGAAGGTGGACAGTGAGAGGACTGCAGCGCCGTGAAGGAGAACAAGTGCTGCAGTCCTCAGTCGTGATTTGAGTCGACTCAGAGCATTACGTGGGATGGGGAAGGTGGACTGAGAGAGGACTGCAGTGAAGTGAAGGAGAACAAGTGCTGCCATCCTCAATCCTCAGACCTCAGTCCTCAGTCCTCATTCCCATCCCAAATGACCCATATGTGCTCAAGTGTCATCCCCAGTCATGCAAGTCCCCGCTACAGTAACATCTACCGCGCATACCCGTTATAGTCATCTCAGGTAGTCAAACGTACCCCGCTATAGTCATCTCCATATTGCCTCCTAGCTGGTAAAACGCCCCGCCTCCCACTTCAGTCACCGTCCCTTCCGCCAACGATCCGTTTCCCGCGTTTGCCCCGATCGTCCAATCCCCTGTTCCCGCCCTAACCGCGCCGCCTTCCGCGCCGGTTTTCGCGGAAGGAGAGTTCCGATGAAGACGGAGGAGCCGGCGACGATCGTGTAGTTTGAGGAGTCGAGCGTGATTTGCGGTCATGACGCCACGTGGCTGACCGTGGCGCGCGTGGAAGGAACTTTCGGAGAGATGCGCGTAGGAGTGGGTGACAGGGAGGACGTAAAACGACGACGAGCCATCGGACGGCTGGGATTCGACGAGTGAACGTAGAGATCGAACGGGTCTAGAACCGAGCCTGGTATCTGGTCTTGAAACCGGATCGGTGGCGCTTGTAACGGGTACGGAAGGCCGGCTAGCTTGAATTTGACAGGGTAACAATGTTGCTAGTAGAGCCGCTAGAAGTAGCAGCGCCAGCGGTAACTTAGGAGATAAAAATGTAGGTAGAAATGCGAAATTGAGGGATTGTCTAGAATAGAGGCGGCAACCGCGAAAACTATCGCATTGTGGCTTCGCTCCGTGATAAAACACCATGGTGATTCCTCTAAGAGACGCACTTAGGGAGCCAACTTGATAAGGCTACGTGAGACGCGGAGATGTTTCCTGGTACGACGATCGTATCTATAAATCGATGACAGGCTTTATGCTGCGATCACTTCGGTGTCACTGAAGAGCCGTAAGAACAAATGATATTGCTTCCGACTAACGCTCAAATGTACAGCACTGTTAGAGGTCCTCCCTTCACTTTCGTTCAACTGTAAGGTAATGGATCAGAAGTGGCCACAATCGATAGCCAATGAAACGACCGCGAACGAAGTAACAAAAGGAATCCGCAAGCGTACCGCAGCAGCTCGGGGAGTCGTGTAATTAGTCTAGAAGTTGTCCTCTAGAAACACTGGATAGATTGATCCAGTCAACGGTTGCTTGGCTGATCAACGGCGAGAGAGACTCGTTGTTGAGAGACTCGTCTCGAGGGCGATCATTGGAGTTCCCGATCACGAGACGGGCACCCACCCACCCACCCACCCACCCTTCGAGTCCCCCAATGCTGACGACAGGTTCCTTGTTTATCTGCCTGTGCCAGCTGCGTGGAGGAGAAACAGTGGTAAACTGACCACAGGTGGACTGCCCTTTTGAAAGGTGGAAGGACATGTGAAAAGTTTTACAGTGTTACTATAGTGTGTGGTCAGTAAAAGACTATTTCCAGGGATGATATTTCTGGCGTGATAAGATAAATATAGGAACGGGACTGTACATAAGCCACTCACCACCACAAAATAGATAATGGAAGCGGTCAGAAAAAAATAACATTGTGAAGGCGGTGGCGTGGCGAATCAGAGCGATGTCGAATGGGATGCCGCGAAGCAAATTCGCGTAGCCGTGTTCGTATGGACGGAGGGATGTCGTCGACTGAACAGACGACTTTCGTCATCGGTTTCTGCGAACAACAGCGAGCAAAACGAGGGCGCCTCGCAAGGGGAGGCGCTTCTCGGCGGCGAATCGACTAGGGGCGTGGTCATCTTTTATTGGACAGTAGATCAGAGGCGGTTCGACTGACGAGGTCGTATTGCTGGTTGGATACAGTAAAGAGGTGACTGCGGGGAACGAGGACGCTGACGCAGACTGCATATGCAGGGCACCGACCACCCGCCCCAGCACTATACCGGAAAAAAATAAAGAAAGCATATAGCTACTGTGGAAAACAACTCATTTAGAACAAAGAAATATCTAAGGTGGTCTGTACATCATTGAAGAAACATCTTGAAGGTGGTCTTCTGCTCCTCTCTCTATGAACAGCATCACAAATCTACTATTTGCTGATTGATATCTGGGTAATTACCCTAGGAACATTTCTTCCATGTTATTTGTACATGAGGCGACTTCGACGCAACCATTCACAAGCTGGAGGTCCTTCCTCCTCCTGCCTATCCTCCTTGCTCCCCCTCATCCCTCCTTTGTCCCTCAAAATAGCTTCATTTGTCCTCCCTCCCTCAACATTGATTCCTTCTCCCTGGCATGACCTCCGGCTTCAGCAGTATCACTTCCTCCTCCCTTGTCTCCTCAGACCCATTAATACTCTCCATCCTCCCTTTGATATCCTCCAATTTCTCTGTCTTACCTTCTCCCTCTCCTGCCTCCCCTTCCCCTTTCCCCATCTTCCCCACCATCTCCCACACCTTCTCCTCCTTATATACCTCTCCCATTTTATCTCTTCTTTCTTCTCCTCCTGCCTCTGCTTCAGCCCCCGCCACCTTCTCCCTTTCCACATTGCCTTCCTCTTTCATTCCTTGCTTTTTCTCTCCTCCCTCCTCTCCTTTTGTCTCTTTCTTCCCCTCTTTTTTCTCCCCTTCCACTTCCTCCCTTCCCTCATTCTCCTCTTTCTCCCCATCCTCTTGCCCCCCTTCCTCTTTGTCCCCCCCTTCTGTCACTTCCCCTGCTCTCTTCCCACCCGCTTTCTCCCCCTCCACTGTCACCCCTGCCTCTTTCTCCCGTCCCTGTTTCTCGTCTTCCTTCCTCTCCCCGTTTCTACTAACCCCACAAATTGGATTCTCCATACTACTGTCCCCCAACATCTCCCCATCAACACATGCCATCATAGTCCCTTCCTCCCTTACAGTAACCTCATCTTCCCCCGCATCTCTCCCCTTCCCCCCTTTTGCCGCATCCTCTTTCTTTCTTTCTTCGGCCCCCTGATCCTTTCGCTCCTGTTCTTGCTGCTGCAACCCTTCCTCTTCCTTCCCTTCCTCTTCCTTTCCTTCCTCTTCCTTCCCTTCCTCTTCCTTCCCTTCCTCTTCCTTCCCTTCTTCTCTTTCTCCTGGCTGATCCTTTCCCTCCTCCCCTCCTCCTCGCTCTCTCTTCCTGTCCTCTTTCTCCCCTTTCTCTTCCTTCCACACCTTCTCCCTTTCCCCACTCTCCTTTTCCTCCTTTTCCACTACCCCGATTGGCCCTTGCTCCTTCTCCCTATTCCTTCTCACCCCTTCCCCTCTCTCCGTTTCCCCTCTCTCCCCCTCCCCTACCTTCTTCTCCCCTCCCTCCGGTTCTGCTGCAGAAACATCTTCTCGTTCCCTTTCCACTGCATCGGAATCTGATCTAGAAGGATCTAATCTGGAAGGATCTGATCTGGAAGGATCTGATCTGGAAGGATCTAATCTGGAAGGATCTGATCTGGAAGGATCTGATCTGGAAGGATCTGATCTGGAAGGATCTGATCTGGAAGGATCTAATCTGGAAGGATCTGATCTGGAAAAATCTAGTCTGGGAGAATCTGCCTCCAACTTTTGCCCGATGCTCCCTGTCCCATCAGCCGATCCATCCTCAGCCTTTCCCATCCTAGCGACATTCAAACCAGAAGCTTCAAGTTCACTTCTGGGAGGGTCTGCCTTCAGAGGGACTGTTTTCGGCGGGTCTGTTTTCGATGGGTCTGTTTTCGACGGGTCTGTTTTCGGCGGGTCTGTTTCCGGCGGGTCTGTTTTCGACGGGTCTGTTTTCGGCGGGTCTGTTTCCGGCGGGTCTGTTTTCGGCGGGTCTGTTTTCGGCGGGTCTGTTTTCGGCGGGTCTGTTTTCGACGGGTCTGTTTTCGGCGGGTCTGTTTTCGGCGGGTCTGTTTTCGGCGGGTCTGTTTTCAACGGGTCTGTTTTCGGCGGGTCTGTTTTTGGAGGGTCTGTTTTCGGCGGATCAGCTTCAGAATCAAGCTTACCACTCCCTTCAGCAGACCCAGCTGCTTCAGCTTCTGCTTCTGCTGCTGCGTCTGCTTCAGGTTTCGGTTCAGGTGCAGTTTCAGAATGGGGTTCAGCTTTGGGTGCAGCTTCTGAAACCTTTAAAACAGAGGGGCGCAACTGGGTAGAATCAGCTTTGGACAGGTCAGCTTCCAGATCAAGTTTAACACCAAACCTTTCAACAGACCCAGCTGCAGTAGACTCAGCTGCAACTGCAGCTTGATCTCGAGATTTCGCTCCTGCTTCTGCCTCCGAAGGCTTTGAATTGGAAGGAAGCGACTGGGGCGGATTTGCCAAGGACAAACCAGCTGCTGAACCCTCAGCTTCAGCTGTAGCTTGATCTTTCACTTCTGCTTCCGCTTTTGCTTCTGCATACGAAGGATTTGAATTGAAAGGGAGCGACCGGGGCGGATCCGCTGTGGATAAACCAGCTTCCAGATCAAGATTAGCACACCGTTTAGCAGAACCAGCTGCAACACCCTCCGCTTCAGCTGCATCGTTAGCTTCTGTTTCCACTCCTGAAAGCGAGCTGAAAGGAAGCGACTGGGGCGGATCTGCTTTGGACAAATCAGCTTCCAGGTCAAGCTTACCACCACGCCTGTCAGCAGAACCAGCTGCAACACCCCCCTCAGCTTCAGCTGCATTGTTAGCTTCTGTTTCCACTTTCGCTTCGCCTTCTGCTTCTGAAAGCGAACTGAATGGAAGCGACCGGGGCGGAACTGCTTTGGACAAACCAGCTTCCAGATCAAGCTTACCGACGCACCTGTCAAGAGAACCAGCTGCTGGGGCATCCTCACCTCTAGCTTCTGGTTCTGCCTTGAATCCTGATAAACACAGACCCGCTCCCATCTCCAACTTTTGAGGGGCCTCGAAGGTAGGTTCTGGTTTTGCGAAGGACCCTGATAAGCAGAGACCTGCGCCCAAGCCTGTCCCGGACCTAGGCTCGCCAGGTTCGGATCCAGCCGTACCAGAGCCCAGCTCTGTCCTCGTCCTGTCTGCTCTGGCAGGTTCGGTTGTGGAACAGTGCAAACCACTTTCTTGCGATCCCATCCGTAGATCTTGCTCCGAAGCAACCCCAGCCGTCGGATCCTGCTCTAAGTCCAGCCCCTGCCGTCCAGATCCTCTGCCTTCTCCATCGCCAATCTCAGCCGTTGGAACAGCCTCCAGATCAAACCCTGACCGGCCCTCATCTGTCCGAGCCTCAGCGGCAGGTTCGGACTCCGGGTCAAAATCCAAGCCTCCTCTGCCCTTCTTTCCGCACCTCTCCGACTCCCAACCTTCTCTCTCCTCTCTCTCCCCTCTCCCGTCCCTATCTTGTCTATCGAAATCCCCACGATCCCTCTTTCTGATGCTAATGGGTTGAAACACAGAAGATATTTGTTTCACATCAGCGTCAACTGCTGTGTTTTTTAACCCTATGCGCCATCCTGCCCCTCCTGCTCCTGCTCCCGCTCCCGTTCCTGATCCTGCTACAACCGCTGCTGCTACTCCTGCTCGTGTGCCTGCTGGTGCTTTTGCTGCAGTGTCTGCTGGTGCGACTGCTGCAATGACGTCAGCCTCTGCTGGTGCGTCTGCTGGTACATCTGCTGCCATGACGTCAGCCTCAGGATCGGCGTTCAGGTCCGGAGCACCGTTGCATGCATAGGTGGCCCGAGCCCAGCTTTCGGGTGGGTTGAACGCTGGGGAAGGAACAGAGTGGGAGGAAGAGGGGTTGGGTTGGGGCGTGGGGGGAGAGGAGCGGAGTGGAGGAGGAAAAGAAGGACCACATCAGTGTTCAGGTCCGGAGCACCGTTGCAGGCATAGGCGGCCCGAGCCGAGCTCTCAGGTGGGTTGAACGCTGAGGTGGGAGTGGGTGGTGGGGAAGGTGGAAAGGGGGAAACCGCGTTCAGGTCCGGAGCACCGTTGCAGGCATAGGCGGCCCGAGCCGAGCTCTCAGGTGGGTTGAACGCTGAGGTGGGAGTGGGTGGTGGGGAAGGTGGAAAGGGGGAAACCGCGTTCAGGTCCGGAGCACCGTTGCAGGCATAGGCTGCCCGAGCCGAGCTCTCAGGTGGGTTGAACGCTGAGGAATAACGAGGGGGGAGAGAGAGGGAGGGAGAGGGAGAGGGAGGGAGAGAGGGTGGAGAAGGAGGAACGGAAGGGGCCCACACCACAGACGGGTTACGATACGACCAAAGCATCAGCGGATGAGTAGACAGCCCAAGCCCAGGTTGAAAGCTGAAAGATACCAGAACAGAGGCTAAGCATTGGTTCCGGAATAGCGAAACAATGAATACCACTTTTTAAAGCGCCTTATAAAAGACACAAGCAGGACTCGCAGAGCACAGATTGAGTGTCGGTTAGTAGTACATATTTTTGAGGCGCCAAAAAAGTCGTTAGTAGTACACATGCTATGCTTACGACTGGTGTGGAATGCACGAGAACTTACTAGGCGTGGGTCTCTTGCGGGAGAGAGGTGTGCAAACAGCAGGAGAGAGAGCGCGACGCGGAGCAGCAGGGGAGGCTGTTGCTGCTGGTACTCCTCCCATATGGAGCGAGGTGGAGGGAGGAGCAGCAGCAGGAGAGACAGCGCGATGGGGAGCAGCAGGGGAGGCTGTTGCTGCTGTTGTTGCTGTTGCTGGTACTCCTCCCATATGGAGCGAGGTGGAGGGAGGAGCAGCAGCAGGAGAGGGAGGGGAGGAGGTGGAGGGAGGAGCAGCAGCAGGAGAGGGAGGGGAGGAGGTGGAGGGAGGAGCAGCAGCAGGGGAGGGAAGGGAGGATGTGGAGGTGGTGGAGGGAGGGGGTATGACTGGCGGCTTCAGCTGACACAGAAGCTGCTGCTGCTTCTGTGGACATAGCAACAAGAGAGGAACGGAAAGGAGGAAGGAAGGGATGGGGGAGAAGAGAAGCGGGGAACAGGGGCAGAGGGAGCAGGGCAGAAGCAGCAAGAGCACATGAGACTCATATGATAGTACCTGTCGCTCATGCAGAGCTACGATGTGACTTTTGAGTCGACTCAAAACGATGTGACTTTTGAGTCGACTCAAAACGATGTGACTTTTGAGTCGACTCAAAACGAGGTGACTTTTGAGTCGACTCAAAGGGCAGAAGCAGCAAGAATATAGGAGACTCATATGATAGTACCTGTCGCTCATGCAGAGCTAAGCTACGATTGTACAAGACGTCATGCTTGCGACGTAGCTACAGTTGTAGCTACGCAGATACGATTGTGCAAGACGTCATGCATGCGGCGATCTTTGAGGCACCTATAAAAATCTTGCAGGCCCACCCACTAAGGAAGCACACGCGCACCTCATGTAGTTGATGCAGCTGGCGAATCTGCCTGGCGCACTCCTCCTTTTGAGGCGCCTCAAAACTCGCCCATAGCCACCCCAGAAAGCACACACGCGCGCACCTCATGTAAATGATGCAGCTGGCGAATTTGCCTGGCGCACTCCTCCTCCTGAGACTGCATGGCGGCAACGACCCGTCCAGCCACATCCTCTTTTTAGTCGACTCAAATCAGACATGCAAGGGAGCGAGAGGAGTGAGATGGGCTGAGTATTGACGCACCTCATGTAGTTGATGCAGCTGGCGAATCTGCCTGGCGCACTCCTCCTCCTGAGGCGCCTCAAAATTCACCCATAGCCACCCCAGAAGAGCGACCCAACCCACACACGTACACACCTCATGTAGTTGATGCAGCTGGCGAATCTGCCTGGCGCACTCCTCCTCCTGAGACTGCATGGCGGCAACGACCCGTCCAGCCACATCCTCTTTTTTGGTCGACTCAAATCAGACATGCAAGGGAGCGAGAGGAGAGAGATGGGCTGAGCATTGACGCACCTCATGCAGTTGATGCAGCTGGCGAATCTGCCTGGCGCACTCCTCCTCCTGAGACTGCATGGCGGCAAAGACCCGTCCAGCCACTTCCTCCCCCAAGCACTTTGCCATGTTGCTTCTCAACCTCTCAACCGCCCTCAACTCCTCTACTGTCCTCACATCCTCCACTGCTCTCCCCTTTTCCCCTATCCTCTCCTCATCCACTGCTCTCCTCTCCTCCACTGCTCGCTTATCCCCGCCTGTCCTCCAGTCTTCCACCTCCCTTTCCTCTTTAACTCTTCTCCCCTCCTTCCCTCTCCTATCCTCCTCTCTCCTCTTCTCTTCCTTCACTGCTCTCCTCTCGCCAGCTGTCCTCCACTCCTCCTCATGCAACACAGAAGCCGCCTCACCAGTTTCAGCACAAGCACCTGTAGCAGCACCAGTAGCATCGTCTGTAGCACCACCTGTAGCAGCACCTGTAGCGTCTGTAGCATCGTCTGTAGCGGCGTCTGTAGCGGCGTCTGTAGCGGCATCTATACCCACCTCACCAGTTCCAGCACAAGCACCTGCAGCACCACCTGTAGCAGCCCCAGTAGCATCTGTAGCAGCACCTGTAGCATCTGTAGCAGCACCTGTAGCATCTGTAGCAGCACCTGTAGCATCTGTAGCAGCACCTGTAGCATCCGCAGCACCACCAGTGGACCCAACCCCTCCCATACTGCCCACGCCGCTGCCACTTAACCCAGCCTCGTCCCTATCTAATAACACCCGGTCATTGCCCTGCGATCTGCCCGTCTCTTCTAGGTTAAGATTCACCCGCCGCCACCACTTGGTTTCCACGCCTGCGTTATCAGTAGCACCAGTGGCTGTAGCAGGGGCGGCGGCTGTAGCACCAGCAGCTGTACGAGCGGCGGCTGTAGCGCCGGCTGCTGCTCCCATTGATGCTGGCATGGCTCTTGCTGGAGCTACGGCAAGCGCTGATTTTGCTGCTGCTGCTGCTGCCCCTGCTGCTGCTGTTGCCCCTGCTGCTGCTGTTGCTGCTGCTGCTGGTGCTGCTTCGGGTGCAGCGAGAGTCGCACCTGCCGAACCCCCTGCCACCGCTTCCAACTCCTTCTTACTCCTCCCCACCGAAGCCCATCTATTCAGGAAGAAATTCGCAGGAACCTGCACCCCCTGCCCTTGCCCCTCTCCCATCCCTCCCATCCCTCCCACTCCTCCCATTCCTCCCACTCCTCCCATTCTCCTCCCCTCATCCCCCACACCCCTCACCCCCTCTGTCACCTCCTCTCTCCTCCCCCTCTTCACCACACCCTCATGCCCCCTCCATCCCCCTTCCTCCTCATCCACCCCTTCTTCCTTCCCTCTCTGCTCCCCACCCTCCGTCAGTCTAGACTCCCCATGCTTTCCAAACCACTCCCCTTGCTGATTCACTTCACGGCCCATCCTTCCCTCCCCCTGCTTTCCAAACCCCTCCCCGCCTCGCCCTCCTAATTCACCCCCACCAGTACCACCCTTCAAAGCAGCTTCAAACGACCTTTTCTTCTGAGGCGTCTCAAAAACCGCTCCAAAGATATGATTCTCCTTCTCCCCCTTCCGCACACACCCATCCCCCCCTCGCCCTCCCGCGTCCATCTCCCCACCTCCAATCCCCAACCCTAATCCTCCCCCTTTCCCAACACCTGCTCCCATTCCTGCTCCAGTTCCCCCCAATCCCCCTCCCCCCGCGCCTCCCCCCCCGCTTCCTCCTGCCCCGTCCCCTGCGCCACCCCCTGCGCCTACCCCTCCGCCTCTCCCCCCTCCCCTTGCTCCTGCCCCCCCCAAGACCCCAGCAGCGGCTAGCCTAGCCGCTTCCAGCTGCCGCGCTGCCTCCTGCGGTCCCAGCCTCCCCTCTAGCTGCAACCTTAAAGCCAGGTCCGCAGCTCTCGACTCCTGCGCCGCTTTTTGCGCCGAGTCAAGAATCGCCGCAAAATCCGTTCCTCTGTGCGTTTGCGGCGCCTCAGAAAAAGCTTCCAGCTGCCTCGCTGCCTCCTGCGACTTTTGAGACGTCACAAAAGCCAAATCCGTTCCTCTAGACTTTTGCGGCTTTTGCGGCGCCTCAGAAAACGCTTCCAGCTGCCGCGCTGCCTCCTGCGGCCCTAGCCGCCCCTCCAGCTGCAGCCTTAAAGCCAGGTCTGCTGCTTTCGCCTCTTGCGCCGCTTTTGCCTCGTGCGTCGCTCTCGCTTCTTGAGCAGCTCTCGCCTCGTACACCGCTCTCGCCTCGTGCGCCGCGCTCGCCTCGTGCGCCGCGCTCGCCTCGTGCGCCGCTCTCGCCTCGTGAGCCGATCTTGCTTCTTGAGCCTCTTCCAAACCCCGCAACTGACCCTCTTTTTCCAGACTGTTGAAAGCGTTCACGTCTCTTGGACCTGAACCCAGGTCATCCACTTTCACGTCCCTTAAAGCCAAATCCGCCGCTTTCGAATAATCCGCCGCTTTTGAGTCCCTTAAAGCCAAATCCGCCGCTTTCGAATCTCTCAAAGCCAAGTCTCTTAGATGAGATTCCGCCTTGAGACGGTTCCAAAGGAGAGAATCGGCTAGAAAAGCAGGGGAGAGTGGGGAGACGGGAGGAGCAAACGGGGAGAGCGCCTGGCCTGGGGAGGGCGAGGAGGACGGGTTGGGGTGCTGTTGAGTTGTGGTTGCTGCCGCTGCTGCTGCCGCTGCTGCTGCTGCTGCTGCTGCGGCTGTTGGGCCTAGGTCTGCCATGTTCCCAAAGTGGGCTGCTGCTGCTGTTGCTGCTGCTGTTGCCGCCGCTGTTGCCGCTGCTGTTGCCGCTGCTGCTGTTGCTGCCGATGCTGCTGCGGCGGCGTTTAGGTGATTCAGATGCGCTGCTGCAGCGGCGGCTGCTGCTGCAGCTGCTGCTGGTGAGTTAGCGTTGTCGTTACCTGCTGCCCCTGCTCCTGCCATTCCTGCCATTCCCGCCGCTCCTGCTGCTGCAGCCTCGCGCAAGTGAGCTTCGGCAAGGATTCGCGAGGAGAGGGACGCGATGAGCGATGCCGAGGCTCCACTCACAGGCTCGGACACGGTTCGGGAGCTGCTGCGAGAAGGAACGGGACCGCGGTGGAGGGTTGGGGCGGGGGGGAGGAGGGGTTGGGGAGGGGGCGAAAGGAAAAAAAAAATGGTTTTTTGAGACGTCTAAAAATCGGCTCCACTCACAGGCTCGGACAAGGTTCGGGAGCTGCTGCGAGAAGGAGCGGGACCATGGGAAAAGATTGGGGAGGGGGCAGAAGGGAGAATTCTAAGGGCGGGGAAGGGAAAGGGGAAGCGGAAGGGTGGGAAGGGGAAGGGTTGGGGGAAATAGCGGAATGGAAGGGAAAAGCAGAAGATTTGATCAGAGCAGAGTGCGTGAACGGGTGCGTGTGGTGAATCAGGAACGGTGAATCGGAAACACTCTTTCTTTGCCCACATTTCCGTGGTGCTGGTGCCTTCAACTCAAATCAGGGTGAAGGTGCTGAATCTGACGCGAGGATAGGGAACGGTACAGTACGATACAGTACGGTAGTAGTTACAACTTACTGCATGAAAGGGTGTGTGTGGTGCATTGGAAACGCCCTTTCTCTGCCTGCCTTCTCCTCCTCCTCCCTCCTGCCCGCCCCTACCCCAAACATGGCGCCCCTTCCGCCCTCTCCCGCCCCCAGTCGCTCCCCACTAGCATCATTCCCCCCACTACCCCGCCTCTGGTCAAATCCTCCCAAGAAACCCCTTTTCCCGCTTTCCTCCTCAAGGTTCCTTCCGCCGCCCACCCCCCCTGCCCCTCCCCCTCCGCCTCCGCCTCTGCTTCCCCCAAAGGGGGATCCCTCCGTCCCCCCATCCCCCCCAAAGCTGCTGTGGCGCAAACCGGAGGGCCCCAGCCCCGCGCCACTGGCGGAGAGAGGCACGGCGCTGGGCAGATGCGCGGAAAGCGAGCTTCCCCCCCCGCCCCCCGGGCTTCCGCCTCCCCTCGCGCTAATCGCCGCGCCCCCTGCGCCCATTCCGCTTCCGCCGCCTCCCCCTGCGCTCATAGCAGCGCCCATTCCGCTTCCGCCAGCTCCCCCAGCGCTCATCTCCGCGCTTCCCCCGCCCGCGTGCGCGCCAGAGGCGAGATTAGACAGCCCGCGGGAAGAACCCGCCCCAGCAAGACCCCCCCCTGCCGCCGACCCTAGCGTTCCCCCTAACGTTCCCCCTAGCATTCCCCCTGACGCTCCCCCTGATGCTCCCCCGGGCATTCCCCCCAACGCTCCCCCTGGCGTTGCGCCGCCCAGTGCTGTTCCGCGGGCCCCTGGGGTGCGGGAGCTGCTGTCGACCTCCCACGAATTGTACCCCGCGCCGATCGCCACACTTCCCCCTCCCGGCCCCCCTGCTCCGCCAAACGCCCCCACGTCGAGATTCGATCCCCCGCCTGCTGATTCCACCTGCCGTAGGTCGTTCTGTGGGGGGAAGGTGGCGAAGGGGGGGACCGTGCCAAGTTTGAAGTCAAATCTTTCGAAAAAAGGCAGCCCGCACTATTAAAAAAAGGAATAACGAAACAAGCAAGCAAACTCACAAACAAACAGCACAACGAAAAAAAAAAAAAAAAAAAAAAAAAAAAAAAAAAACACATTTTTCGGAATAAGTAGATTTCTATGGCTCCCAGCGTCACTCTGCTCACCAAGATCTGAAGCCGCCGAATAGCGAACTCGCTTAGCGACTGCATCGCCCCACCAGTGCCGCCCCTTCCCGTACTCGCCGCGTGCGCCGCCGCCGCGGCCGCCGCCACCGCCGCCCCCCTCAACCCCCCGCCGAAGATACTCCCGAACCCCGCGCCCCCTTCGCTCGCGGTCCCTCCCCGCGCCCCCGCTGCGCCGCCCCCCAGCCCTCCGCCTAACCCTCCCCCCAGCCCTAATCCTCCTGCGCCAAACAAGCCTCCGCCCAAACCTCCGCCCAAGCCTCCGCCGAGCCTGTGAAATCCCTCTCTGCCCAAAGCTGCGCCTGCCGAAGCTGCCATTACGACGTCTAGCGGAACCCGCTCGTGTCCGCCCGGACTGCTCCCCGTCGTTCCGCTCAGACCCCCAAGCGCTGCGCCCAGCCCGCCCAAGCTTCCGCCCGTTCCGCTCCCTCCGCCCACCACGGATCGGTCTCCGCCCATGCGCATTCGATCGGCGAAGTCGCTGGATAACGATCGCGACGCGGCAAGTAGCGATAGTTGTCTTCTAGCAGCGATACTCAATAGCGGATCGGACGCGGCTGCCGCTGCCGCCGCCGCCGCCGCCGCTGTCGCGAGGTTGTCGGAAAGCGGTCCGAGAGGAGCGGAGAGCGACGCGAGAGAGGAAGACGCGACGGAGGGAGGTAAGGGGAAGAGACCGCCTAGGCCTAAAGCCTGGAGGGCCGCGGAAGAGGTTAAGAGGCTTGAGGGGTCCTGCTGCTGAAGCTGCCGCAACTGCTGCTGTTGCTGCTGCTGTTGTTGTTGCTGTTGCTGCTGCGACCGCTCTAGTTCCGCGTTGCGCAATTCCTGCAGGCGGAGCTTTTCCAGGTGCGCAATGCCGTGCCCGCGCTGCATCACCTTCACCTTCTTCTCCGCGCCCGCCCCCGCGGAACTCCCCCCCGCTCCCCCGGCCCCGCTGGCTCCCCCCGCTCCGCTGCGCCCGCCGGGACCGCTGCTCTCCGCGCCCCACGCGCCCCCGCCGCGCTCCCGCTTTGTTCCGCTCATTGATCCGCGGCCCTCTCTTTCCCCTCCGTTGCGCCGACTGGAAGTCTCGCCTCCCCCGCCGGCGCGGGATCCTTCCCGCGCGGCTTTGCTGGTTACTTCCATTACTCAGAGGACTACTGAAGTTAGCTAAAAGAACGAAAAAAAAAAGTTGTGTAAGAGCAACCGTTTGACTCTAAACTACATGAGCACGAATACTATTTGGCTAGTTAAGTGGATCGCACTGGCGAATGGATTGAGGGTCCGGCTCGGCGATCGCACGAGCACATACGAGGTTTGAGGAACCCCAAAGACATATAATGGTTTCGTCCCTCACCTAATTTAGTTTACTCGACTACACGATATTTGGAAGTTCTTAAAGGTTTACTGGGCTTGCCCTGAAACAAAACAGCCTCCTACGCCAACAACTTCGGTACGGATTCCCGTAAGCGGCCAAGCCAAGTTAGAGATAAGGAAAACGCCATCGACATAGGCTGACCGTACGTTCATGTCGACCACAATGTCACAAACGAGCTCCAGGTGTCATTCTTTTTCGTGAGGCATCATGGAATGCCATTGCCAAGAAAGGCATGCAGTGCAGCAGAGACAAAAGCTAGGTGTTGGAAAGCTAGATTTGACCGTGGCGCTGGTTCGCTGTTCGCTGCTGTGCTGGAAACTGATCATTCGTGATGGGATGGGATTCGGGCGACTATTGCGATGAGGTAACCAGCACTAGCGACATCGGCTGACAGCTGTGCAGGTCTGAGGACCACGAATTTTCCGGTGAGGAGATGGAGGATAGATTTGAGGACGCGTGAATCTGACGGATGCTGCAGCAGCAATCCGACAAGTTCTAGATCCTCCTGGAAGCAATACAGCACATGTATCTACGGCTGCGATTCGTTAAACTTCTGTTTCGGTGGTGCTGTTGTTGCCAAAGACCCTCTGTGCGGCTCAACAATCGAATGGTACTGTAAAAGACTGCCCCCGCAAGCCTCACTACAAGACAGTTCTGTGGTGTACACGACTGTAAACAAAATAAAATGCTGAATGTTGAAATAAGACCCAGATTTTCTCCGTACAGTAACTGGCGGGACCATCGGGGGGGCAGCAGGACACCGCCACCAAGAGGGTCTGACTGTCGCTCTGGCTAAGTAGTGAAGAGGTCGCACAATGCTGAATCTACGACAGCTTGAGTTTTCGCAGCCAACCAACGATATGTTTGTGTGATGCATAGCCGTTTCGCAGTCGTTTGGGTTCGTCCTGCCGTTCAACTCTCAGAAACCCTACCCAACCGTGACGTCCGACGGAACTGTCCAAATCGCATTGAAACTTACTGTATCGCACTAAATGGCTTTCTATGTCTGACGGATACACACCCCCTAAATCCTTCATTCAATAACTATGTTAATTATCCCTCCCAGGGATTGGGATGGGCAACTCTTTGTGCCTGCTTGCTAACCCGGCCAGTGCCGTACGTGAAGTGGAAGGCCATTGAGAGAAGAATCTAGAAAATAAGGTGTGTAGCAACTCGCAGAATAGGCAACAAGCAATCAACCACCCCCACCGGCAGCATGAGTCATGCCCAGTCTATTCTCGTAGATCATATGCTCCTCCTCAGCCCACTTGTCTGCTACGTGACCAAACTTGTCGGGGGCGGAGTGGGGGCGCAGTGGGGCTCTTTGCCATGTCACCAAACCTGCCGTGCTGCCACCTGTCACCAGCACTTCAGCTTGCAAGCAGTGCCTCAATCCGACTAATATCAGGCCCACCACCAGCAACCTCACCACCAACACCACCACCACCACCAGCAACAGCAGCAGGGGGTGGGGTGGGGCTCTTTGCCACGTCACCAAACTTGTCGTGCTGCCACCTGTCCTCCTCCCCTCCCCCCTCCCGCTTGAAACTCCTCACTCTAACCGGCTGCTCCTCGTCCCGCCACCCATCATCCAAAGGTGCATTTCCTCTTCTCCCCGACTCCACATTAGTGCGGTTACCATCTCGCCGGGAGTCTGCCGAGCCTGGGTAGGTACGGTCGCGACGAGCGTCTGCCGAGCCTGCCGGATAGGCCTGGTCGCGGCCGTAATAGTAGTGACCACGGTACTTGGCTGTTTCCTCGACCCAGTCACGGGCCCGCTCCCCACGCTCCCTGCCTCTTTCGGCTCGGTCGCTCCTCTTCTGCTCCTTCTCCTTGACTTTCTCTCTCTCCCTCTCCCTCCCCCTCTCCCTCTCCCTCTCCCTCTCCCTCTCCCTCTCCCTCTCCTTCTCCTTCTCCTTCTCCTTCTTTTCCCAATCCCGGCCAGCCGGAGTAGGCCTATCACCCACGTAGCGTTCATGGCCCACACCTGTACTACCATCAGCAGGAGCAGGATCAGCACCAGCACCAGCAGCAGCAGCTGAATCGTCCTTTCCACCCTTTGCCACAACAACAAAGCTCCTTCTCTTCGGAACTGCTTCCCTCCCCGCTCCTCCTTCCACGTCGTTCCTCCCCTCTTCAAATTTATCATGGCCCCATCGTTCCTCGCCCTTCCCTCCTCTCTCATTCTTCTCCGCTCGTCTCTCCCACCCTTTCTCCCTCTCATCATCATACCTCCCACGTTTACCCTCCCTCTCCCTCTCCCTCTCCTCAACGCCTCGCTCCCTCCCCCTTTCCTTACCCCTGCTCCCATTCCTCCCCCTCTCGCCCTCCCTCTCACTCGCCCTCTCCTCCTCCCTCTCCCTCTTCCTCTCCCTACCCCGCCCCTCCTCCCTCCTCCCCTTGCCATCATCTTCAAAATCAAAGGAGGAATCACCGGGTTTGGGACCCCATGTGCTGCTGTTGAGGTTGGAATAATCTGGGGGGAAAGTAAGGGGTTGGCAGGGGCGCAGGATTAGCAGGTGAGCAAAATTAGCAGGATCGAAAGGGTAAAAGATGAGCTGGTCACCCCCTTGCCACCATCTTCAAAATCAAAGGAGGAATCGCCGGGCTTAGGGCCCCATGTGCTGCTGTTGAGGTTGGAATAGTCTGAGGGAGGAGAGGAAGGGGAGGATAAGCAGAGGCACAAGATTAGAGGGCGCAGAGGTAAGAGATAGGCTGGCCATCCCTTTGCCATCACCTTCCAAGTCACAGGAGGAATCGCCGGGCTTAGAATCCCATGTGCTGCTGTTGAGGTTGGAATAGTCTGGGGGAGGAGGAGGCGGGAGGGTTGTGGGGTGGAGAGGGAGGGAGGAGGGAGAGGGGACGCTGGAGAGGGGAGGAGCGAGAGGGGAGGAGGAAGAGGGGAGGAGGGAGAGGGGAGGCTGGAGAGGGGAGGAGGGAGAGGGGAGGGTGGAGAGGGGAGGAGGGAGAGGGGAGGCTGGATACAAAAGAGTGCATTCAAGGGAACAGGGCTTACCATGGGGAGAGGAGGGCTTACCTGTTCGGAGAATTTACCTGCGGTGAGGGTTTGCGCAGGGAAAGCTTACCTGCGGGCGGGCCTGATGAGAGGCGGGGGCGGCGAATGGGTTCGTTCATCCGATCGTCATGCTGCAAACGAGGGGGAGCGTGGCGGGGAAAGGAGGGAGGGGGGAACACGGGGAAGCAGTGGGAAGGGAGGAGGGGGGTGACAAGGGAGTGAGCTTTGGACGAATGAGTTCGTTCAAACGATTGGCGTGCTGCAAACGAGGGGAGCGTGGTGGGGAGGGGAACGGGACGGAGGGGATGAAACGGGGAGGGGGAGGGAGGGAGCGGGGGGAAGGGGCCGGGGGAGGGAGGGGGCGGGGGGAAGGGGCCGGGGGAGAGAGGGGGCGGGGGGAAGGGGCCGGGGGAGAGAGGGGGCGGGGGGAAGGGGCCGGGGGACGGAGGGGGCGGGGGGAAGGGGCCGGGGGAGGGAGGGGGCGGGGGAAAGGGGCCGGGGGAGGGAGGGGGCGGGGGGAAGGGGCCAGGCCACACGGGAAAGCAGTGGGAACAGGAGAGGGGGCGAGGCAACACGGAGTGAGTTTTGAACGAAGGGGATGGGTTCGTTGAAACAATCGCCGTGATGCGAAGAAGGGGAGTGGGGAAACGGGGGAGAGGGTGGGTAGGGAAGGTATGAAGGAGGCCACACGGGAAAGCAGTGCGACCAGGAAAGGGGGCGACTTGGAGTGAGTTTTGAACGAATGGGTTTGTTCAAGGCAGAGTACGAGTGAGAGATTTCCTTAATCCCGACTTTTGACTCGATTCACAAATCATTGAATGTGGGAGTGAGTGAGCGAGTGAGCATGCACGTACGAGGAAGAAGCGGGCTGATCTCGGGATGTGCTGCGGGTCAGGTTCACAAACTCTGGTCTGAACTCAGAACTCTCCCTTGGGACCTCCACCACTAGCAATAGCAGCGGCACCACCACCTCCAGCAGCAGCAGCAGCAGCAGCAGCATCAAACCCTCCATCTACGTCCATACCCTCCGCGCCTTACGATTCACGCATGCATGCACGCACCAGGAAGAAGCGGGCTGATCTCGGGATGTGCTGCGGGTCAGGGTTCACAAACTCTTGCCTGAACTCTCCCTTGGGACCTCCACCACCACCACCATCACCAGAAACACCAGCAGCACCAGCACCACCAGCAGCAGCAGCATCTAACCCTGAAAGCAACTGCGTGTACGCACCAGGAAGAAGCGGGCTGATCTCGGGATGTGCTGCGGGTCAGGGTTCACGAATTCCGGCCTCAACTCTCCCTTGGGACCTCCACCACCAGCACCATCACCACCACCACCACCACCAGCAATAGCAGCAGCACCAGCAGCAGCAGCAGCAGCATCAAACCCACCATCTACGTCCATACCCTCCGCGCCTTCCTCGAAGCTCCCCTGCCCTTGGTACCGGTCCCCCCAGCCCCCCCTCCCCCCACTCCCCCTCCCCCACCCCCTCCCCCTTCCCTCCGCGCTGTTGTACCCGCGGCTGCTGCTAAACCCGCCGCTATACCTCCCCCCGTCCGCGTAACCCTCTCCGCCGCGCCAACGGTCTTGGTCCCTCCAGCCGCCCCCTCCCCTCCCTACGCCTCCGCCTCTGCCGCCGCTCGGGCCGCCGCGAAAGGCGCCGTTGGTTGCGGGCGGTGGATCCGATCCGACGGTTTCGATCCGCTCGGAGACCCAGCGGCCCTGCGATCCGCGCGCCCGCTCGGGGCTGAGGGGAAGTGGAGTGCGGGGGAGAGATGGAGGGGGGAAGGAGAGAGGGGAAGAGATTGGGGGGGGGGGGGAGTAGAGACGGGAAGAAGATGTGGGGGGAAGGAGGGAAACAGGGGTTGAGGATGTGGGAGAGGGGAGGGAGGGCGGGTAGGCGTGAAACAAGGCGCAGAATGACGACAATGGGAAACAGTGGATTTTCATGGAGAAAGGGTGGGGGTGGGAGGGGGGAGTCGGGATGAACGGAAGGAAATGCTACGAAAAGCAAACGATCTTGAACTTGAATAGCGCCATGCTGTATTTGGGATTGAATCAGCAATTAAAGGATCAAGATTATTCCAGCAGAATCGTTTCATTGACAACGAATAGTACGGTCATCGATTAGCCAGCCAGCCTAGTGATAGACCAACAGAAACGGTTTTGAGTCGACTCAAAACACGACTGTTACGGTCATCGATAAACCAGCCGACCTCGTGATAGACCGACAGGAACTGTTCTCAAGCATTGAATCGCGCGTGGGTACCGATACGCGTCGATACGCCTCGATAGCCGTCGATGCGCGTCGATGCGCGCGCACCTATCGCTCACCTGTCCTCTTCCATTTTTTACGCGCGTCGGCAACCAGGATCCACTGGCTGGCCGCGTGGCCGCAAACGGTGGAGATGAGGACGAGTCACGAAAACGAAGCCGCTAAAGACGAAACGAAAGTGGAAACGAAGTCACAGCAAAAGTGGAAACTAGAAACAGCAGCAGTTGACGATGCAATGCAAACACCGATCTTGGTCCAGACGAGAAACAGAAAGGCACGTGCACCGTATTAAACCGTAATGCACTGAGCTTATGTGGTTTTGAGAAATCGACCCAAACGAACCTTGGGTTTGTTTTTCAAGAATCTGGAGCTTCGATACAAGAGATCCGGTGAACTTGAGTAGTCAATGTTTCGACAAAGACGTCACGATACTACAATGTAATTCGAAACAAACCACCAGAAATGAACTTCAAATGTGAACTAACTTTGATAAACAACAACCTAGTCTTGCAAATATCTACCCTAACAACCTATAGATACTTATGTAGACGGATACAGCCATTTTCTTTAACATGTCCCATATGAGGCGGTAAAAGGTCTCGGGTTAGGTCCCCTACCAGACCATCCCATATAAGCTCAGATGACTCTTCACCCAAGGCCTCCCCAGAGACCTTGTACCGCCTTATATTGTAACCTGTGACTGGCGCTGCTTCTACTGCATGGCCACATTGCTTCAACTGCAGATGCCGGAGAAGGGAGCTGGTTATTTGGGAAGAGTAGTCCAGCGACGGAGAGAGCAGTGGAAGGGGGGCAAGGAGTTGCAGGGAGGGACGATTGTGAGTGTTGAGGATGTGTCCCAATCACGGTCTTAGTTGTTCATAAGAAACTCTGAGTGCTTCTCACGGCCGTTTACTGCTGCAGCTTCTGGCCCAGTCAGCAGCACCACCAGCACCAGCTATAGCACCAGCAGTAGTACCCGCAGCAGGAGCACCACCACCATACCAGCTCAGCAGTGGCACAGGAACAGCAGAGAGGACCACCCTCAACCACCCTCCACCACCCAAAAAGGGTGAAAAAACAAAACTCCACCCACACCACACCACCCTCGCTGCTCCGCCTCTCCACCCGCCCGCAACCTCTTCCGCTTAACTCGTCAAAACGTCGGCTCCAGGCCCGTCCGCCTCAATCGAGCACGCTCCCCTCACAGGGTCCAGATTCGCTTGCACGATAAACCGCGACCCGCGCACGCCAACAAGATTATACACCGCACCGGTAACCGCATCCTTCTTCACATCTCCGTACTCTCCTGCGCAGATGTCGGCGTTCTCCTCACCCTGTTCGTCGAACCACGTGGCGAGGAAGGGGCTGCTGGTGGCCTCTGCGAGTTCATGCGCCAACACCGACACCATCCCGTCCATCCCCGCGTCGCCGTTCGGGGACACTGCTCCGGGCAAGTTGAGATGGGGGGGAATGCAGCGCTTCGGACACTGTTGGGAAGAAAATGGAGGAAGAAAAGGGGGGAGGAAAGGGATGGAGAGAGAAGAGATTGAGAGATGGGTAGGAGTCAACACGATCCGGACTTGCTAAGGTGAGCGCTAAGGCCAGGAAACGGAACTGCATGGGCTGGGTACGGTTGTGTGCGCTGTGGCGGCTGCGTGGGTTGTGTGGCTTCTGCATGGGTAAGTATGGGGTTTGTATGTGGGTTAAAATGGGTTGAGTGGGTTGGCACTGCGACTTACCCTGGTGGCAGCATTGCCGACGAATGCGATGGGCAGTTCAAGAGCATCGCGCGTGTAGAAGTGCCACCCGCAGTAGTTTCTGCAGAACGCCGATTTCTCCGGAGCAGTATCATCCTCTTGCGCCACCGTTTCGTCTCCCATGACGAAATACACGCCGTTCGGGTCGTTCGCGAATTGCTTGCTGGTAACCGCGGACGAGACGAGTTTCGCCACGTCGGAGCTGAGCAGAGTGCGGCCCTTGGAGTAATCCGCGTCGTCGATTTCCCCCTTTAGAGTCACAAATGCGGAGATATGGTTTCCCATCGCGTCGTAATATAGACGGTTCACGTTCCACCAGTTGGTTACTGTAGCGTCGGTGTCGTTGCTGTTATTGAGTGACTCGATAAACGTGTGGATGATCTGCTTCTGCGCGTCTGTGAACTTGCCGTACCATATAAGGTACACTGAGATGGGCTTGTGCATAACGCCGCAGTACTTTGTAACGGGGTTGCACACTTTGGAAACCTCGGGATCATCCCAATGCGGGTCGATGTTGTGGAAGGCGGGGGAGTGGCGCGGCGGGAAGATGGCCGCGGAGGAGGAAGGTGCGCGGAGCGCCGAGGCAATCATCTGGCTCACCGCCTCGGGGGAAGGGGCGGGAACGGAAGAAACGGCGGAGGCGGGAGATGCGGCGGCGGCGGAAGGAGCCGCGGAGGCGGAAGAAGCCGCGGAGTTTACGGCAGCGGAGGATGAGGAGACGGGTTCACTGATGCTGCGAAGGGCAGAAGCGGGAGGAAAGACAGACGATGGGTGGAGAAGGTTGAGATGGGTGAGATGGATGAGGCGGAAGTGAGAAAAAACTGGGGTGGGAACAATCGAGTACGAGGCTGAGGTGCTAATATCGGGGACGAGGTGCTTTCCCGCGGATGGTAGTAATAGCGCACCGCTCACCTCGTGTCGACGACTTGCGCGATTCCCTCCGGCATCGCGCCGCGCATTAGCAGGTCATCGTCTGTGCGCTTGCGCCATTTCTGCGCGCGGAATAAGGGGAGAGACGAGGGAAGAGGAGTGGTTAGGCCATATGGGGGGAAGAGGGGGGGGTGGGATGGGGGGGAGGGAGGAAGAGGAGGGGAATCGGAGGACATAGTAGCCTTAACGGGTCCCTGTGCTGTGACTACCGACTAATAATGCTCGAACCAGCTATGCCTCGAAGGTGACGCCAATTCAACGTTTTGTTAACTGAGGTGAATAATGAGAAAGCGTCTGAAGGACGGGCAAATACTTCTTTCTAGGCGCATCGGAAATCGCAGGGCGAGGCAAGGCGACTCTGCGACAATGGCGACGACTTACGAGGAGTCGTCTGTGCTGTCGCGCGCAAGCGATGGTGGAGAGTGCGGCGAAGAGGAGGAGTGCGACGATGGCTCGTATATGGAACGACGACCGGCTAATACTTTTGATTGCCATGGGACCTCAACTGGACTCTGGAGTGTGAAACTGGAGTTACACTTTCGGACACTACAAGCTAACTCGACCAAGACTCGACCTCTATGATCGTAGTGCTGAGCAGTGTACGAGATTGAAGCTCGGCTTTTAGTACTGGGTATGAAGAAGCTATCGCGAGGGAGTTCTGCACACGAGGCGCGAACGTAGGGGCCACACAAAGAACGGTGACGTGGCTGCGCCGACTAAAGTGGGTCGAATGGGTGCTTGGAGAGTCTGGTCACGTTTGCCTCACAATGCGGAAATGGCTGGTGGATTGTGCTTTGCTGTGCTGTTCCTGTTACTAGCCCGCAATTTGCGAAGGGTGAAAGATGGTTCTCGACAATCGGTGGGAGGTGGTGGTGGTGGTGGAGGGTCGCTAAGTGACGCACAGGGAACCTAAAACGCGGAGGCGCAGAGCGTGGGTGGAAATTCAAAGTTCAAACATGGAGTAACCAATTCGATTTGAGGGCGCAAAAGCGCACGTCGCAATGTAGCGCAAACAGATGGGAACAGCTGGCAAGAATGCGAATGTCGGGGCTGTCCGTGTGGAATCCTGAGAGCGGTTGGGCATTTGGCGAAAGTGTTTGATTCGACCTTGGGCAGGCGCAGCAGGAATAAGGGCGCATTCCTACCTCGTGTCAGACACGAAGTGGAGGTTTGGATGGAGGTTCGGAAGACCCGAAGTGGCCCACTTCGGGTCTTCCGAACATTGATTTGCTAGAATTACAGGTCACTTCGGGTCTTCCTCGACTTCACTTCGTGTCTGACCTCATGTCAGACACGAGCCAAGAATTACCCTAACTCGAACGATCCCAAGTATTTTTGGGGCGGTCAGAAAGTTGTTGGTCAGATGGGGATGGCGTGGATTGTCGACTGGACGGTGGCCCTAGGCGCGGTTCTCCCACGTCTCGTAGGTCACACCGATCTTTCACCTGCGGTCAAGTCGAGTCGCTCATTGCTCCGAATTTTGTCGTCATTCAGTTGTTATTTGTTGACGGAGGTCATGGGCAGGGTTCTACTTTGAGGCAGTCCTCCGTTTCGGATCCAGAGTGTACTTGTGGAAATCAATCCCGTTGGTTCTTCGGACTGCTCTTCCAAAACCGGGTTTAGTCAACCACCAGTCTGGACTCTGCTGTTAGGACACAAACCACGACGGTTCTGGAACTTATTTATCAGGATCGTCCAGAACAAACGTGAAAACAGCCCTGAAAAGGGGATGAGCTAGCACGTAATTTCGGTGCCTTTGCTACGAGCGCCATGCCTGCCGCACATTCGGTCTGGCAAGGTCAAAGGCTGCCCGCACCTGTCAACATTCGCTCACCTGAACTCTGCCCGCACCCTGTCGTGTGAATTTCGTTTTCGAATGGCGGGTTTCGAAGCGCACGGCCAAACTGCAAAAGTACAGTACATCACCAACAGCTCCGCGAGTTTTGTTCATTATCCGCTGTTGGAAGACACTATACATACGGTACCTACAGACATTATCGTTCATACAAGCTAGACCCTTTTATGAAAATAAATACATTCGAACAGCACATCCAATATTGTTCGTATCGAAAAATCTACACCAGTTATGAGTTGCATCAGATATATAAACTAAACACAGCTGTGTGTTGCAACACTTGATATAAAAAATGTCATATAGCTCATATACATAGAAATTTAGAAGCCGAACAAGCTATTGAAGAAGGAAACAAGTGCATCCCAAGTACTCCCTCCATAAGGGGTTCCAGTTACTGGTGGCTCGGGTGTAGCAACTGTGGGCGGCTCAGGAACGACCTCAGGAGGCGTAGGAACGGTAACCGGGGGTGTTGGGACGACAACAGGAACTGGTGGCACTGAAATAGGTGGTGGACTGGCCGCGGGACCAGCCGAGGAGGGAGGCTGGCTCGGGCTTCCCATAGCATCAGGCCCATCAGTCTGCACCACACAGCGCCCGGTAACCGGGTCGTGATTCGCCTGCACGATGAACTTGGAGCCCCGAACACCCTCTAGGTTGAAATACGCTCCCGTGGTTGCATCCTGGGTCACATCTCCATACTCTCCTGCGCAGATGTCGGCGTTCTCCTCGCCGTGGTCGTCGAACCACGTGGCGAGGAAGGGGCTGCTGGTGGCCTCTGCGAGTTCATGCGCCAACACCGACACCATCCCGTCCATCCCCGCGTCTCCGTTCGGCGCCACCGCCCCGGGCTGGTTCAGGTACGGCGGGATGCAGCCCTCGGGGCACCTGGTTACCGCGTTACCAACAAACGAAATGACGAGCTCAAGGTTGTCGTAGGTGTATGCGTGCCAGCCGCAGTAGCTGCTGCAAAATCCTGACTGAGAGTAGCTCGAGTCGTCCTCCTGGGCCACTTTGGAATCCCCAAGGACAAAATACACTCCGTTGCTGTCGAAGGGCAATTTACCCTCGTTCACAGCGGCAGAAACGAGGTCCGCAACGCCAGAGTTGTACAGAGTGGTGCCTTTGGAGTAGAGAGTGTCGTCGATTTCGCCCTTGAGAGTTACGGATCCGGAAATGTAGTTCCCTTGGGCGTTGTAGTAGAGCCGGTTGATGTTCCACCACTTTGGAACTGGTAGGAGGAAAGGGAGGACAAGGAGGAAGAAAGTCGACGGGGTAAGGGGAAGCAGAGGCAAAGGTCAACGAGATAATAAATGCGTCGCGTCACTGTAAGGAGATGCTTTGAGTGGATAGTGTGTGCTGGATTTGATGCCATGCAAATGATGCCTCACAGGGGAGGAAGGGTGGAAATCTGGTGAAGAGCATTACCAGTTAGAGAGGTGTCATTGCTGTTATTGAGCGATTCGATAAACGTGCGCATGATCTGCTTCTGCGCTTCTGTGAACTGGCCGTACCACACGAGGTACACTGCGATGGGCTCGTGCATGACTCCGAAGTACTTGGCGTTCGCGGAGCACATGTAGGCGGCGCTGGGATCGTCCCAGTGGTAGCCGATGTTCTTGGGTGATGGATTTGATGCGGATGCTCCGACCTGGGCGCTGTTTGTTGCGACGGAAGGAGCGGAAAGAAAACGGGGATCATGAGAAAAGACGTAGTATTTTAGGAAAGCCAACGTCCGTCGCCAACATTCTTGTAATTTGCGTCAGAGTGTGCAAATACAAGAATGAGCTGTCCTGTTTGTTATCAGATGCGTTCAACGCTAAGTTAGCGTTTGAGACGCCCCAACAGTCGTCTCGTTACATGCAACTTTGTTTATCGAAATGAGCTGGCATGTTCGTTAACTATGCGTTAGCTTACCTGGTATCGATTAGAGCTCTGACTCCATGCGGAAACTTCGTTTGCCGCATGCTCTCTCCGCCGCTTCTGATTCCTCCTGAAGACGCGACCTCCGTAAGACTGCGTCTGCTGATGCGGGAGCCGCGGATGGGCGTGTACGAGATTCTGGATGTCCTACGCGCCGCGATCCATTGCTGGAGAGAGGGTCGCTAAGTGCGGAAAAAAGAATGTTTTTGAGCCGCCAACCGCGTCTGCTGATGCGAGAGGGGTGCCGCGGATGGGCGTGTACGAATATCCTACGCGTCGCGCTCCATTGCTGGAGAGAGGGAATACCGAGAAGCGACGGGATAAGTTAAGCATGAGAACGTGCCGCATTGATCTGTACGACCATGCAAAAGCTTAGTAAGATGCTCAACCGAGCAAACAGCGTGTGCCACAACTTTGAGTTTGAAGCTAATCGACAACGGCCCTTGTAAATGCATTACACGGGAGAATATCGCAACCAGCACTTACGTTGAGAGTGCCGCTTTCCGGGATAGATGGAAACAAGGCGCTTGCGGACGATGCGCCGAGGAACGCGGCCCAAAGCGAGAGGAGAAAAAGTGGTATGAGGGCTGGAGACATGATCCAGCAAGTTCGTGAACGAGTCATTCGACGAGTCTTCGCGAGCCGACGAGATTTGAGTGCTACCGAAAGAAAAAAAAAGCCGAAGACGCTCTAGGAGTACAACTTGAGCAGTTTTTTCACCGGAGGCTTGTCTATCTGGAAGCGCTGAATCTGCTCAAGGACCGAGAGTTTTCGGGAGGATTAATCGTGTGCCGAATCCTACTGCCGTGTGAGAAAGGACGAGGAGGCAATGTCGAAGAAAAGCGATGCTGGTTGTTTGTGTGTTGCAAATGAGACATGGGATGGGATGGGAGCAAATTTATCGCTGTGGGTAGGCGGCAACACGAGGCGAAGGTTTTGCGAAGATTTGAGTTGTTCGGTGACTGACTCAAGTCCTGGTTACAGACGGTGTTGACGATTTCACGCGAAATTCATTTTCGGTGGATGCCATGTCGGCGAGACGCATGTAAGCGCGATCCGGATAACTTCGACGCGGAGAATTTACAAGGTTGTCCTTATTGGCTGCAACAGTTGTCGTTTTCTCTGGTGGCGATGGTGGTGGGGTGGGAGGGGAATTCGGCCGTGCTTTGACCCAGCTGGACTCCGCTAGGTCGGTGAGAAAAGAAGCAGATAGATAGGTTCGGAATGGTTCTGACATGCAGCTGTGCTTCTACAGATGATTAAAACGCATTTGAATGTAGTTCCACCGAGCTAAACTATCAAAAACCGGAAAATGTAGCAAGGGGAAGTTCCTCATCAAGCACCTCATCTTCCTATGGTCCTTCCCCTTGGGGATATTCAGGCTCATCAACCCCAGCACCCTGACATCCAGCTCATGCACCACTAGGGTAACTTCACTTCCCCACCCCTTTAGTTAGGGGAAGTTCCTCATCAAACACCTCGTCCTCTGTGCGGTCCCTCCCCTTGGGTATGTTGAGGCTCTTCAGCCCCAGCACCTTGGCGTCCAGCTCATGCAACCCCAGCCTCTCCACTCCCACCACGTCTATCCGCCTCGGGAAACCCGAGGCACGAGGGGAAGCGGCTGTTGCAGCAGCAGGAGCGGAGGCACGTGGAGGTGCAGATATGGCAGCAGCAGCAGGAGCAGAGGGATGGGGGGACAATGTAGCACCAGGAGCAGGAGCGGCGGCAGGAGCAGGGGAGGAGGATCGAGCAGCAGCAGTAGAGGAAGAAGAAGAAGGGAGGTAAGGGAAGCCTGGGGGAAGAGCGGGAAAGGCAGGGGCAGCGCCAGCAGCAACGAGCCTGGGATCCAGAGGGGCCGAGGCTGAGACACCATACTTGCGCGGTTCCAAGGAGTGGAGATGATTTCCGTGGGTGGCACTGTGGTTGGAAGTGGTTGTAGCAGCGGGTGCTCCCATGCGGCTGTTGCTGCTGCTGGCGCGCTGCAGTGCTGCCATGCCGTCTTCTTGCCTTGCTGCTGCCTGGAGGGATTGGGGTACGAGGCCTGCTGCAGCAGCAGCTGCTGCTGCTGCAACTGCTGGGCTTGCCTGCCCTCGGGAACTCATTTCCGGTGCCTGTGCATCGGCACTCACACCACCAACGACACCAGCAGCACCAGCAGCAGCTTTAGCACCACCACCAGCAGTACCAGCACCAAAGCCAGCAGCAGCAGTACTGACCGTGCCTGCATCCGACAAAACTCCACTTGCCGAGGCTGTTCCCTTACCTCCGAGCGAGCCTCGGCGGCCGTCCAGGTGCTGCTGCAGCTGCTGCCGAAGCTGCTGCTGCAAGTCGTTCAGACTCGTCCAATCAAAACCCCTCCCTCCTGCCCCTGCACCGGTTCCAACCCCTGCCTCTCCACCGCCTTCCCCCCACCTCTGACCACCCACCCCCCCACCCTGTCCTGTCAAATCATGCCCCCCCATGTTGCTCCTCCTGGGAGAACAGGGGTTGCGGTTCCCACTGAACCCCCTCCAACCGCCCCCACCTGTGCTGTTGCGCACACCAACACCAGCACCACTGATGCCAGCAGCACCAGCAGCACTAGCACTTGTATACACAGAAGCAGAATCACCATCAGCAGCAGCAACACCACCACCACCACCAGCAGCAGCAGTGGAGAAGGCAGGAGGAGCGGGTCGCAGGTCCTCCTTCCCTCCTGACTTTCTCCCCATCCCCAAGCCTGTCAACCCCAGGGCAGACAGCACAGCCGCTTTAATCCGTGCGGCCGGCATGCGACGAGCAGCAGCAGCATCAGCAGCAGCAGAATCAGCGTCAGCAGCAGCACTGGCGGTCCCTTCTCTACCCATTCCTCCTGTACCAGCCAACCCCTGAATGTGCCTCATCCCGCCATCGCCCCCGCCATTTACCCCGCCATTGCCATTGCCAGCAGCAGCAGCACGGCCGATTTCAGCAAACACGTCTGCTGGAGAGAAGTCATCACCGTCCCCAAACTGGTCAAACCCATCTGCACCGTACTCCCAGTCACCATCTGCGTCACCAGTGCCATCAACACCACCAACAGAAGCAGCAGCAGCAGCAGCGTCACCAGCACCACTACCAACAGCACCAGCAACATCAGCACCAGAACCAGCACCAGCACCACCAACACCACCACCACCACCACCACCACCAGCAGCAGCAACGGTCCCACGGGGGTGGACAGATGCGGTTCTGACCATACCCATCGCAGCATCTCCAACGTCCATCTGCTCGTGCGATGCTCCCGAGATCAACGGCCCAGATCGCACCTGCCTCCTGGTGGGCGTGGTGCTCCTTCTCCCACCTCCCACTCCTCCCCCCACTCCCCCTCCCCCTCCCCCTCCTCCCCCTACTCCCCCGCGCATACCACCACCTCCTCCCATCCCCATCCCCATCCCCATCCCAATCCCCATGCCCATGCCCATTCCCTTACCCATGCCTCCCCCTGCTCCCCCTGCCCCTCCCCCTCCTCCTCCCCCTCCTCCCGCTCTGCCCATCCTCCCTGCAAGCCCATACACCAGTTGCCCTGATTTCGCCTTGGGTTTGCCCTTCATATGCATCCACGCAGAGGAAGACGGAGGGGCACGATACGCAGAGGACGAGGAGGAGGAGGAAGCGGAGGGAGCAAGAGGTAGGGGGTCGTGGGCAGCAGCAGCAGGGAGAGTGAGCGGGGCAGCAGCGGAGAGGCCAGGAGGGAGGGACACGGATGCTGCAGCAGCAGCTGCTGCCGCCACCACTGCTGGCGATGCCGGTGCTGGTCTTGCTGCTGCTGCTCCTGGTTCTGCCCCTGTGTGACTGAACAGCTGACCAGACCTGTAGTCCTGAGACGAGACAGAGGGAGAGTGTGCCTTGCTGTGCTGTTGCTGCTGGGAGTGGTGAGAGAAGCCATGCTTCCTTGCCAGTGACTGAGGCGTGGAGGGCAGGCAGCGCATGGCAGGTGCATGGCTCGGGGACCCACCCTCACCTGAGACTTCACCTGAAAATTCACCTGAGTATTCGCCCTCAACTCCAGGACCACCAGCACCATAGCCAAACGAAACGGCAGAAGCAGCGGCAGCGGCAGCAGCTGCAGCAGCAGCAGTGGGGGTTCGACCCCCTCGGACCCCATGCCCTCCATACCCACCAGCGGCAGCTGCAGACGCGTTTTGCTGGGGCGTTTCGAAGCTCTGTGCCATTTCCAGCAGCGTGGACGATGCATATGCTGGTCGCTGCTGGTCTAACTGCTTCAACTGCTGCTGTAACTGCCCTAACTGCTTTAACTGCCCTAACTGCTCTTCTGCTGATAACTTCCCACTGCCGCCCTCTGCTGCTCTCAGCCGCAGCTGCAGCTGTGACCGCAGGTGCTGTGACTGTGAGAGATGTGACTGTTGAGAATCCGTGCTGGGCGGCAATCCCTGCCCTGTAGACAGCTGTGCTTGGTTCGGCAAAGCGGCGGGTAAGGTGAGATCGGGGGAGACTGAGGGGAAGGGGGACTGCTGGAAAGGACCAGGGGGAGGAGAGAGGAGAGGGGGGGTTGGAGGGGATGGTGGGGATGAGGGTTGGATGATGGCTCGAACCTTTCTTGCAGCAAAAGGGCCGGAGGGACGAGTGTGGAGAGGGAAGAGGGGAGAGGAAGAGGGGATGGAAGAGAGCAAGGCCCTCCCATCTCCTGCTCCCATGGGAGAAGCAGCAGGAGCTGTGGCTGCGAAAGGAGAAGAGGAGGGCTGAGGAGGTGGAGGAGGAGCGAGAGGGAGCGGGAGAGGGAGAGGGAGAGGAGGGTGATTGTGGTACGCGTCGTAAGCAGCGCGTATGAGTGTGAAAGGAAGGTATTTCTCCAACACAGAGCGAGGGAGATGCGGGGAGAACAGACAGAGTTGGTCTAAGAAGATAACTCTTGAAGCCCAGGCCCCCCGGGGGCCCTTATCCCAGAAATTCAGGACGAAACTCGCCGCGTGCTGCACAAACGTCCGCATCATGCCGGCCACGCCGCCCGCCAGCCGGACCAGGTCGGTCGGCTCGTCGTCATCAGCGTAATCCTCCGAGTTGCGATTTGATCCTCTCATGATCCGCTGCTGTGCTAGCAGCTCCCGCTTCAGCTCCCGTCTCTCTGCCCCCGCCCGCTCACACCCCACCAGAAGCACGTGTATAGCCCGGATCAAACAGTTGGTATTATCCGAAAACCCCTGTGTTTCCGGGAGGTATACACAGGTTTCCCAAGACTGCCCTCCCAGCATAATAGCAAACAGAAACGGCAGCATGGCCCAAGCTCCGTCCCCCACTCCTCCTATCTCCATCAGCAAATCTAGGACCTCTGCAAATGTCCCATCCGCCCCTCCTCCCCCTCCGCCCACCTCCTCCTCCCCTCCCCCGCCGCCCACCCCCGCCATCCCCCCCGCTCCCCCCATCCCACTCGCAACCACCGCCCCTCCCGCCGCCACCGCCGCTGCCCCCGCTGCCCCGCCTCCCACCCCGCACCTAGCAGCAACTCTCCTCAACTGCCCTACAGCTACGCTTTCAGGGCAGGAGGGGGGGAGGTGGGAGGCAGTATCCCGTAACACTGAGAGCACAAGGGGGATATGGTCGTGGAGAGTGGAGGAGCAGGCGGAGGAGAGGACGTGGAGGAAGGAGAGGCAGTGCCCGATTTGGATGCAGAGAGAGAGAGCTTCCTCTGCTGGGGCTGCTATGGCTGCTGCTGCTGCTGCCCGCTGCTGCTCCTCTGGCTGCTGCGTGCGGGTGGCGCTGCCAGTGCCTGTGCTTGTACCGGGTTTGATTGCAGCTGATGGGCCTGTAACGGGTTTGCCTGCACCTGCTGTGCCTGTAAGCGATGTGCTGTTATCAGGTGTGCTTGTATCCGACGTGCCAGGGCCGGTTGTGCTACCAGCAGGATCAGCAGAAGAATCAGCACTAGCAGCAGCAGCAGCAGCCGCAGCAGCGTCAGCAGCGGCAGCTGAGGGAACCTGCAAGGGAGGAGAGAGGTGCATTTTAGAAGCAAGCATCATGAGGGAATCTCGGTTCGCCCTCAGAATGGCTTCCAGGCGGCTGAGCAAGCGCAGCAGCACAGGTCGCACCACACGACCCGCCAGCTCATCCGCTCCGTAGAATCCAAACAGCCTCACAAACGCCGCCAGCTCAGCACCATCCGCCACCAGCTCAGCAATCACCGGCCGAGCCGCTAACCCTACTTCTCCCCCTGCCCCTCCTGCCCCTCCTGCCCCTCCTGCCCCTGCTTCTGTTCCTGTTCCACCACCAGGGAGGACTGAATTGGGCGAGGCGAGGATTGGAGAGATGGGGGAGGAGGCAAGGATCGAAGGCACAGAGACAGCAGCACGAGGAGACGCAGCAGTGGCAGGAGATGCCGAAGTGTACGGGGATGCAGCAGAGGAGGATGGAAAGGTGGAGGCAGAGGAGGAGGGAGTGGAGGAGGAGAGGGAGGGAGAGGGGTTGGAGAGAGAGGGAGGAGTGGCGAGGGCAGGATTGGGGCTGGTGGAGGGGGAGGGGAAGGGCAGGAGGGGGCTGAACGCGCCTGCTGCAGCTGCTGCTCCTGGGACGAGTGCAGGAGAGGAGGCCACAGGAGGAGTGAGATGACCGGGGGGGAGAATTCCTGTTCTAGGTTTGCCTGGACTGCTGCTGCTGGTTCCTACCCCTTCTCCTCCTGCTTTTCCTCCTCCTCCTGCTCCTCCTCCTGCTGCTTCTGCGTCTGGTGGTAATGATGAAGATGCTACACTTCCCCCCCATGCTGTGCTTCTAAAGGTGGCGTCAAACGGGGAGAACAGCACCCCGGCTTCGTTACAGTCACACACCACATTGTCAACGTACCATCGCGCTATAATCACAGCCGCACTCGGCCCATCAAAGCTCTCACCACCAACAACCCCATCTTCACTCCACCCAAACCCCCCGTCACCCCCTTCCACCTGCCTGGAAGCTTCCCCCTGTCCTTCACACCCTAATCCCGCTTCAACCCCTCGTACCCCTCCGCCCCCACTGTCTCTCACCTCCAAACCCTCCTCCAATATGTTCTCCTCCACACCCATTCCCATCCCCATGCCTGATTCCATGCCTAAAGTCATGCCCTTGCCTTGTTTGGACCCCACAGACCATCGTCCCTTCCACCCGCCACTCTTCCGCAGCCGAGCATCAAGTGAGCTCGACACTGCCTTGCCATGCACCCCTCCTCTCTCCCCTCCTCTCTCCCCTCCTTTCTCCTCCCATCCTCTCTCCTCCCACCCTCTCTCTTCCCCTCCTCTCTCCTCCGCTCCTCTCTCCATCCCTTCCCTCTTCCCCCTTTCCCCGTCCCACGCTCCTCCCCCTCCCACTCCCACACCTCCCTCTCCCATCTTCCCCCTTCCCCCACCTCCCCTCCCCATCCCACCAATCTTCTCCCTCTCCCACTCAGGACGATACAGCGGGTGCAAGTCCCTGCACCCCCCCAAAACCTGCTCCTCATAAACCTCCTCTCCATGCCCCTCCTCTCTCCTCCCTGCCCTTTCCCCTTCCTCCATCACCTCCCCCCTCCCCCCGCCCTTCCTAGGAAACGCCTCCCCCAGAAGAACCTCCCGGATGGTGCGAGAAAGGTAGAGGGAGCAGTGTTGCTGCAGGAGCAGGAGGAGGAGGAGGAAGCGAGTGAGGGAGGACTCGAAGGCGGAGGGGCGCTGCAGATGGCCGTTGGGGAGAATGGCGGAGCGCAGGCGGTGGTGCAAGTGGCGGGTGAGCCTCTCCCGCAGGTACTGTTGGGGGGACGAAGGGGTAGAAAGGGGACAGGGGTAAGGTTTTAAGGGGTTAGGGTAAAGGAAAAGGGGATAAGGGCGGACGGATCAGGCAATGATCGGGATAGATGAGGGCGGGACTCCTAGGCAAAGGGCCACTGCAGAAAGCTGTTGGGGAGAATGGCAGAGTGCAATCTAATATCGAGAATGATATTGCTTAGAAGTTACCTCTCGTGGAACGAAGGCATGGTCTGCGACTCTGACAGGTGGCAGGTTGTCAATGGCTGACACGAGACCCACTAGCTTGTGCAATGACGCGCTTATGCTGACACGGGGGGGGGGGTGGGGGAGGGGGGGTGGAAGGATGGGTGGGCGGGAAGGGGGTAGGAGATAGGTAGGAAGGAAACATTGCTAGACGACTCAAAAGCAGCCGTCAATGGCTGATACGAGGCCCATTAGCTTGTGCAGTGATGCACTGATGCTGCCACGGGGGGGGGGGTGTGGAAGGATAGGTGGGCGGGAAGGAGGTAGGAGGTAGGTAGGACGGAAACATTGTTAGACGACTCAAAAGCAGCCGCCAATGGCTGATACGAGCCCCACTAGCTTGTGCAGCGATGCGCTTATGCTGGTGGGGGGGAAGGGGTTGAAGGATGGGTGGGCGGGAAGGAAGTAGGAGATAGGTAGGAAGGAAGCACTGTGTTCGACGCAAAAGCAGCTGTCAATGGCTGATACGAGCCCCACTAGCTTGTGCAGTGATGCGGTTATGCTGGTGGGAGGAAGGGAGGAAGGGAGGGAGGAAGGGAGGGAGGGAGGGAGGGAGGGAGGGAGGGAGGGAGGGAGGGAGGGAGGGAGGGAGGGAGGGAGGGAGGGAGGGAGGGAGGGAGGGAGGGAGGGAGTGAAAGTCATCTGTGACAGGTGGCAGGCTGTCAATGGCTGACACGAGGCCCGCTAGCTTGTGCAGTGATGCGCTGATGCTGGTGGGGGGAATGGGTGGGAGAGGGAAGGAGGGGGCGGTTCGAGGATGAGGTTAAGGTGGAGAGGATGTGGTGTGGAGAGGATGTGGTGTGGAGAGGATGTGGTGTGGAGAGGATGTGGTGTGGAGAGGATGTGGTGTGGAGAGGATGTGGTGTGGAGAGGGAGAAATTGAATAAGAATCGGAGAAAGAGGAGTAGATCTAGCCTACGCACCACCTCAGGCCATCAGTGTATGCAAGCATAGGAACTTACCCCGTGATGTGTGCTCGGTTGTGCGGCTGGCTCTCACTCCCTGGCAGCAGCTGCAGCAGCTGGTGCTGTTGATATGCTGAGGGGTGAGTGATTGACTGGTGGCCTGCGGATGTGCCTTGAGTGGTGGCCGCTAGTAGCACTGCTGCTGCTGCTGGTAGCGTCTGCATGTGGGGAGCACAGGGGGAAACAAGGGGGACATGTGAGGTGCCGCTGCTGCTGATCTGCTGAGGGTTGAGTGATTGACTGGTGGCCTGCGGATGTGCCTTGAGTGGTGGCCGCCAGTAGCACTGCTGCTGCTGCTGCTGGTGGTAACGTCTGCAGATCATCAGCCGGAAACATGGGGGACATGTGGAGGGCAGAAAGAAGTATGCTTTGGGCGCACACACATGTGACACACGTGAGGAACATAACGAGGACATGTGGGACACGTGGAGGACATGTGGGACACGTGGAGGACATGTTGGCACACGTGGAGGACAGAAGGAGCACACATGGGCTCACCTTCATGTGCAGCCTGGTCTGACTGTAGCGCCGAGAGAAGCGAGTCCACTCCCCCCATGATGGCATGGAGCAGTGTGTATGGGTGCAGTAAGGTATGGTTGCAGTACGGTATGGGAGCAGCAAGAATGGGTGCAACCAGCCTTATAGCCTCACCTTCATGTGTAGCCCAGTGAGCCCGTGGTCCGACTGTAGCGTCGAGAGAAGCGAGTCCACTCCCCCCATGATGGCATGAAGGAGCGAGTCAGCAAACTGCACTGCTGTTGGGAGCAGAGTGGGCCGCTGGGGGCAAGAGAATGGGGAGAAGGGGGAGGGAAAGAGAGAAGGCAAGCGGGAGACAAGGGGTTGGTTGGCAGTGAAAAGAGCGTGACGGACAGTAGGCTGTGCAGGAAAGCTTGTGCCACCATGAGCCAACATTTGGCATGCTCTGTGACTCTACTCAATAAAAAGGACCCTTCGAAAGGAGGGGGTTACATGTCACCTCGTCTGGCAGGGAGTGCGGCAGGTTATGCAGGAAAGCTTGCGCCACCATGAGCCATCCTATGGCATGCGATGGAGTGCCGTGAGGGGAGAAAAGCACCTGGCGAAACACCTGAGAGGCAGGTAATGAAGCCAGGTGGGAAACGCGATGGTCAAAGGACACAGAGATTGAGGGAAACAGGTGAATAGGCCTGAAAAAGAACCAGTTTTAATTGAGAACACTTACTCAGATTCGAGAGTGGAGGGAATCAGAAAGCACGACAAGAGTACCTGTGTCATCTGCGGCCGATAGTAGCACATGAGGTGCAAGGAGGCTTGCTCGTCCACCACCTCTGGTAGCTGATCAATGCACCTGACATAGGTGGGTGGAGGGGAGATAGACAAAGTCATGTGTATGCAATGCAGCAGCGATACTACATAAAGCGCAATGAGGCTTGCTCGTCCACCACCTCTGGTAGCTGATCAATGCACCTGACATTGGTGGGTGGAGGGGTATGGACGAAGGGATGGAGTGAGATGTAGCGAGGCGGAGAGATGTTCATAAGTTGATACAGATGCATTTGGTCATCCCAAACACAAACAAGGAGCAACATGCGATGAGAGTAGCAAACTTGAGTGTAACAGCAACGCACCTGCACCATGCATAAAGGCGATTGCATTCAGTGACAATACTAGTTGGCCCATCATCCCCCCCCGACACCAGATGCAGCACTCTCGCTGACGCCGTAGTGAAGGGCGATGATAGAAGCAGCTGCAGCTGCACCCACTCGCCCCTCATGCTGTGCCATGCCAGCTGGTCCGAGGCCAGAGCGTGCTGGGGGAGTGGGGAGTTTGGGGGGTGGAAAGAAAAAAAGTGCAGCAACGGAAGAAAAGGAGGGGCTCGGTGCGGCTTAGATGTGCGCCTGAATGTGCCTAGCTTCCACATGCAGGAGGAGAAAAGGTGAGACGAGCAAAAGGTGCGGTGAGACGAGCAAAAGGTGCGGAGAGACGAGCAAAAGGTGCCTTCATTCTTACCATCTGCATTCGTTCCTCGTACTCCATGCTGCTCCCACCGCCACCGCCACCGCCACTGCCACCGTCGCCAGCACACGCCACGTCAGCGTCGCACAGGAACCGGGCGGCTGCCAGCATGGACGCTGACGTGTCACGGAAGAAGGCCTCCAGCTGGGCGCTCATCGCCAGCTGGCGCACAGCTGGCAGCGCGATCAGATCTCTCACCCGCCTCGCTCCCCACTGCACCTGCCACGATGCATGCGCCTGGATGGCTGGAGATAGGGGGGACGAAAAAAAGGGTTAGGGTGAAGAGGTGTCGGTGTTATTGAGGCAACTCAGGGATTCTCTGATGCTCTTCACTTCCCACTGCACCTGCCACGATGCATGCGCCTGGATGGCTGGAAACAGGGGGAAAAGGGAAAGTTTGGGGGAAGGAGGAGGGGGGGCTATTGAATGGAATCAGCAATTTCTCATGCAAGGGTGAGATGTTGGAGAGGTGTTAGCCACATCAACTCACCTCCCAGACAAGAGAATTCAAACAATCAGGTCTGAGATGACATCTCACCAACATTCAGCAACCCCTAGTCGACTCTAACAGCCAGTCCAGGCCATTACCATTACCATTACCGTTACCATTACCATTACCGTACCATAACCGTTACCGTTACCATTACAGTTACAATTACCATTAATGTTACCATTACCGTTACCATTACCATTACCATTATTATTACCATTACCGTACCATTACCGTTACCGTTACCGTTACCATTACCGTTACCATTACTGTTACAATTACCATTACTGTTACCATTACCGTTACCATTACCATTACCATTACCGTTACCGCTATTGTTATCGTTACCGTTACCGTTACCGTTACCGTTACCATTACCGTTACCATTACTGTTACCATTACCATTACCGTTACCATTACCGTTACCATTACCGTTACTGTTCCCGTTACCATTACCGTTACCATTACTGTCACCATTACCATTACCGTTACCGTTACCGTTACCGTTACCGTTACCGTTACCGTTACCGTTACCATTACCATTACCATTAGCAGCAGCAGCAGCACGTACCGAGCATGTGGGTCTGGATGAGGGAGACGAGGCGAAACATTGTATCGATCAGCACTGCCACTGAGTCCGCCTCTGGTCCCTGCAGGGAGGGAGGGATGGGGCAGGGAGAGGGGGGATACACATGGAATTCAGGCTGGAAACTCAATGAGGCGGAACATGGTGTCGATGAGCACTGCCACCGAGTCTGCCTCTGGGCCCTGCAGGGAGGGGGGGAGGGAATGGCAGGGTGTGAGACGAAGAGCTCACATGCGAATATGGATCAGCAAAGCACGTCAGCTCGCAGAAGAGCCAACACAACAGGCACCACCTGGACCATGCGCGGCAGCAGGGAGGGCTCGTCCGCCAGCCTCAGCAGCAAAGAGAGCTTCTTTTGAGGCGCCTCAAAGGGAGCACCACAGAGATAGTAAAGGCCTCTGGATTACCGTGACGGGGGCGGACTGGGCGAGGCAGGAGGTGTGGAGGATGGCCCAATGCACCTCGGCTCGCAGCAGGGCAAGCACGGACAGCAGGAGAGAGCAGGAGAGAGCAGGAGGGAGCAGGAGGGAGCAGCGAGAAGTGTAAACGGGACCCTAGTTCTTACTGTGACAGGAGCAGATTGGGCGAGGCAGGAGGTGTGCAGGATGGCCCAGTGCACCTCGGCTCGCAGCAGAGCCAGCACGGCCAGCACCAGCTGCAGCATGGGCGGCAGCAGCGAGGGCTCGTCCGCCAGCCTCAGCAGCAGGCGCCTGCCCTCGTGGCCCAGCAGGAAGCGCCTCCTCCTGTGCGAGTCTGCCATTCGCTGCAGACAAGCGTGCATGCCAGTGCCACCCACGAGGTCCCTGGTAGTCAAGGGGGAGGGGACGGGTGGGTGACAGGGAGGTAGAAAATTTGAAAGTGGAGGCTCGTCCGACAACCACGAGGTCCCTGTTGTTCAAGGGGACAAGCGAGGGGAAAGAGATCAGAGAGCAGAGACACAGGGAGGGAGGGCTCGTCCGCCAGCCTCAGCCCTCGTGGCCCAGCAGAAATCGCCTCCTCCTGTGTGAGTCTGCCATTCGCTGCAGACACGCGTGCATGCCACTTCCATTCCATTTACTAGGTCCCTGTTGGACAGAAGGGGGAAAGAGAGAGAGCACAAACACAGGGGGTGGGGTGGGGGTTGTTCGGAGAGTGTCAGCTCCTCCAGCTGCCTGCCCTCGTGGCCCAGCAGGAATCGCCTCCTCCTGTGCGAGTCTGCCATTCGCTGCAGACACGCATGCATGCCAGTGCCAGTGCCATTCACTGCGGCTTGTGCCAGCCGCAGCAGCAGGCGCCTCCCCTCGTGGCCCAGCAGGAAGCGCCTCCTCCTGTGCGAGTCTGCTATTTGAGAAATGTAGGTACAACTCACCTAGCAGTCTACAGCACTCACCCCAGCAGTCGACAGCACTCCCTCAGTCGCTGGTACTCCTCCTCTGCTCCCTGTGCTCTGTGCCTCGCTGCTGGTTCACAAGCCACCCAGCAGCACAGGCATCCCCTAAACAGCACTGACCCTATCAATCGACAGACAGCACTCCCTCAGTCGCTGATACTCCTCCTCTGCGCCCTGCGCTCTGTGCCTTGCTGCTGCAGCCACCCAGCAGCAGAGGCATCCCTTAAACAGCACTCACCCCACCAGTCGGCACAGCTCACCCTATCAGTCGACAGCACTCCCTCAGTCGCTGGTACTCCTCCTCTGCTCCCTGTGCTCTGTGCCTCGCTGCTGCCTTGGCCGCCTTCTTCCCCTCCCCCATGCGCCCCACCGCCCACTGCTGCACCTCCGCATGCACACACAGCACCTCGTCTCTGAACAGAGGCACAATGGCCCTCGTGTGGAGAAGAGCCTGTGAGGGGTAGAGGGAAGGAAAGCGGGGCAAGAGGGACAGAGTGGAGTCTGATAGAGTGATTGCGCTGCTTCTTTTCCCTCCACTGACCACTACTGCACCTCTGCATGCACGCACAGCACCTCGTCTCTGAACAGAGGCAAGATAGCCCTCGTGTGGAGGAGAGCCTGTGAGGGAGGGAGGGGAGGGAGAGGGGAGATGGAAGATGGAAGGGTGATTGTGCCGCCTTCTTCCCCTCCCCCATGCGCCCCACGGCCCACTGCTGCACCTCTGCATGCACGCACAGCACCTCGTCTCTGAACAGAGGCACAATGGCCCTCGTGTGGAGAAGAGCCTGTGAGGGAGGGAGGGGAGGAAGGAGAAGGGGATACGGGGGACAAAGGGGAATTTGAGTGGGTGATTGCGCTGCTTTCTTTCCCTCCACGGACCACTGGTGCACCTCTGCATGCACACACAGCACCTCGTCTCTGAAGAGAGGGAGTATGGCGCGCGAGTGGAGTAGGGTCTGCAGTCGAAAGACGGGGAACAGAATAAGCGGAGTACAAACAACGGAGGTGAGTGAGTGATCATCTCTTCCCCATCTGTGCCCCCGCGGCCCACTGCTGCATCTCCGCATGCACTGCACAGCACACACTCGTTGCATCTCATCTCATCTCATCTCATCTCATCTCATCTCATCTCATCTCATCTCATCTCATCACATCTCATTTCATCTCGTCGCATCTCACCTTGATAAGAGCAGCAGCATCGCGCGTGCCTTTGACTATCTCCACGGGACAGGTGAGCAGGGCGAAGAGTGCCCACTCGCTATACGCCTCCATCCCCACCAGCTCCTCGCTCTGAGTGGATCAGTGGGGAGCGGTGGGGAGGGGTGGCAGGTGGTGGATGGTGGATCAATGAGTAAGTAGGCTTTTCACAACACAAACTCCACGGGGGAGGTGAGGAGGACGAAGAGCGCCCATTCAGTGTATGCCTCCATGCTCACCAGCTCCTCGCTCTGAGGAGGGGGGAAGGGTGGGGGGTGGCAGGCGGTGGGTGGTGGGTCAAGCAGTAAGTGAGCCACACCAACAACAGCACATGCTAGGATTACGAAGAGTGCCCAGCTGACTTTTAAGTCGACTCAAAAGTCAGCGTGGTGGGTCAAGCAGTGAGCCACACACACCAACAACAGCACATGCGAGGATTACGAAGAGTGCCCACCCACTCACTCAGCACGATGTGAGGGGCAAGCAAGCAAGAATGATTACCCGTTTTGCTTCTCTCACGTCATGAAAGGCAATGCAAGGGGAATAAATGCTCTCCATGAGACCCCAGCGTTGATCTTTGAGGCGCCTACAGCCGAACCAGGCCCACCATACCATGAGGTCCCAGGGCGGGGGAGCGGATGCCACGTCAGGCCAGGACGCGAAGGGCTTCACAAACACGTCTGTGCGAAGCTTCTGGGTGTCTTCCCACGCAAGAATCACAGGAGCAACGGCGTCCACAGCCTGGGGAGGGGTAGAGGAGGAGGGCAAGCAGGAATGGAATGGGGAGATTGGGGAGCTCCTTGAGTAGACTCGTAAAAGCTTCTCACATCTTCCCATGCGAGAATGATGGGAGCAACGGCGTCCACAGCCTGGGGAGGGGAAGAGGAGGGCAAGCAGGAAGGGGATGGGGAGACTGAGCTGCTTGTGGTGCGCCTCAAACGGAGCAGCAGGAACAAGTTTTGAGGCGCCTCAAAAACCGCGTGAACTAAGACGACTTTTGAGGCGCCTCAAAAGGAGGGCAAGCAGGAATGGGATGGGGAGACTGAGCTGCTTGTGGTGCGCCTCAAACGGAGCAGCAGGAACAAGGCCTTGTCGACTTTGCATGGAAGGGAGGGAACGGCGGATGACTGAAATGTAATGAACTGAACGGACCTTTGAGATTCGGGGGGCCACAGTCCTGAGATCCTCCTGCAGACCGAGCATGGGGGTGTCGTATGCCTGCACGTACTGCAGCACTCTGGGGGGAAGGGGGAAGGACGTGGGACGGAGGGGAGGAGGTGGGAGGGAGAAGGTGGGAAGGAGGTGGTGGGTATGCGCTCACACAGGCTTGAGATCCTCCTGCACGCCCAGCATGGGGGTGTCGTATGCCTGCACGTACTGCAGCACTGTGGGTGGGGATAAGGAGAGGGGGACAGGGCGGGAGTGGAACGGAGTGGGTGTTTCACATCATAGCCACTCACACACAGCAGCAATCCTGCGATCCTCCTGCAGTCCCAGCATGGGGGTTTCATATGCCTGCACTGCACGTACTGCAGCACCCTGGGGGGAAAAGGGGAAGGAGGGTGGGGTGAAAAACGTGGAAGGGAGGAGATGGGAGGGAAGAACGATATGAGCTCACACAGGCTTGAGGTCCTCCTGCAGACCCAGCATGGGGGCGTCGTATGCCTGCACGTACTGCAGTACCCTGGGGGGAGGGGATAATGGGGTAAGTGATGGAGGGAAGTGGTGGGAGTGGGGAGGTGGGGGGGAAGTGGTGGGAGGGAAGGAGTGGGTGTGTACACATACCTTGGGACTGCCATACCTTGGGATTGCCTGGGACTGCCACAACGTGGGAATTCCACATACCTGTCATAGCTCTCTGGCACTTGGCCGTTGGTGGTATAGTGCACTGTCAGTGCGTGCACTTGCACTATCATTTTTTTCCCCGCCTGATCACCACACACACACACACACTCGTACATACACACACACACACCCACGTGAAATCACGGAAGAGGGGATCATTATGGTAACATACCCAATGTGAGAGGGCATAATCTTACAAACATCTAGTGGGAGAAATTGACTCGCAATGTACCCTTATTCGTAAAAAAAAAAGAGATTAACTAGGATTCTACCCTCACCCGTAACGAGAGGAGATTAACTCGCACGAAATCAGAGAAAAGACCCATGAAGGAGCGGAGCACGAGCGGGTTCACTTTTTAATCAACTCAGAAGTTAACTTGCACTACTTCACCGAGAGGATACTAGCTTGCAGATTCTCACCCGTAACGAGAGGAGATTAACTCGCACGAAATCAGAGAAAAGGCCCATGAAGGAGCGGAGCACGAGCGGGTTCACCACGGGCTGAAAAGGGAGAGAAGGAAGCACAGGAGGGGCGAGTCTTGAGTCAAGCAGAAAGAACAATAAAGGAGCGAAGCACAAGCGGGTTCATTATTGGCGGAATGTGCCCCCAGCACAAGAGTGACGAGGTGACTTTCGAGTCGACTCAAAAGTCACCGGGTTCATTATTGGCGTATTGCCCCTTCAAGAGCGACGAGGAGGGAAGAGAAGGGAATGAGAAACACAGGAAAACGATTTTTGAGGAGCACCAACCAAGAAACATACGTGGAGCCCAAAGGGTTCATACCAGGCCCAAACACTCCTAAGGGCATGGTTTGTTCTTACAGAGAGTGTGACAATGCTGGTGGCAAGATCGTTGAGCAGAACGAGGGCGTGTTCCCTGAATAGAGCCAGGTCCACCAGCACCTGCGAAGCCGTTCGAGGGCAGAACAAAGAGTAATTTGGCAAGTTGCCATCTCACAACTACTTAGTCGCCTTAAAACTTTCACCATGTTTTGGCGCCTCAGGAATGTTCTCTGAGAAGAGCACACCCACAGGGTCTAGACCAGCAAATGAACTTGGCATCAGAGCACCCAGGCACCGACTGCTCTGTGTGGTTCGGTCCGTACCTCGTACCAGGGCTGCAGGGAGGCTTGGAAATGCGAGCCGAAGCTGGCGAACACCTCGAGAGCAGTTCGGTCCACCTTATCAAGTTGCAGGTTCCGTGGGTGTTCCGGAAACTTCCTCCACAGGTGCGTGCACAGCTTCGGAAACTCCGGCACGATCCCCGATTTCCAAACCTGGTCGTGCGGTTTGGGAGAGTCCTGCGGACCCAGGTCAACGAGCCTGGACAGCCTGTACAGCTTCGGCATCAGGCCCCGAGCCGCGTTCCGAAGCTGCCGGATACGTCCGCCAATTTGCAGACCCCAAACAGCCACGGAATGATCGTCGTTGAGCTCCGGCGGCGGCGTCGGCGTCGCGGATGGATCTGATTCGTCGAGCCGTTCTGGTACTAAGCTAAGAGGCTTCATGTGCGATCCGGCGTTGCCTGATCCCCGATATTGCGGGATTCGACTAGGACTAGGACTGCGCGCGGGAATAGGAAGGAGCGGGAGAAACTTCGGGCTGAAGGCTGGTCGAGGGGAGGAATCCATTCGAGCCATGCTTGAGCCGTAATCCTGATCGTTGGATATGACTGGGGAATTCGGTCGCCTATATCTTCTACCGTCCATTTCGTGCTGGCGACTAAGAAAATGAAGCAGGAGTATCTGATTACGAGCTTCTGCCGTCTAACGACTTCTCGCCTGACAAGTCAACGCTCACCAACAAACGCATTCTTATTCCTTTCAAGACGACCGAAGTACTTTCTTGCGAAAACAGACGACGTGGGAGCTCTTCAAAATACCACCCGGCGACGCTACTGTTGTGACATACAGCAGTCTTACCCAGTTGGAGGGGTATTCTGACTGGACGAACTGCTACTAATAAGGTGAGTGGTAGGGAGTAGAAATCTGGAGTATTTTTCCCTTGTTCCCTTCGACTATTCTTGACTGAATTTTCTATATCCTCGCTTCAAGCTTGCTTCCGAAAGTGTATGAGAGACGAGTCACGGCTGTGCGATCTGAGACTTCGGGGTCGCCGACAGCTTCCTGACACATTGTTAATGGCTTCGCGACAACTAATGACGTTTACCAGGACTTGCGAATTTCGTTGAGCTGCCACTGCGAGCTCGTTCGCAGTGTACTTCGAACGTTCAGGGCTGTGACAGTCTGGAGAGTTCGCGAGTACTTCACCGGTCGCATACATGTCGCCCGTCTTCGTTGACGTTTGGACGTTTTGATTGGCATGCCGTCGGACAATGAACCAGGTTCAGGCTCTGACTGATTGCTATTGGCTGGCGAAAACGGGAGTGACAGAGTCAGGGCGCGAAACCTTTTTTCGCGGGCTGAACTTCATGCGAGAAAGTGGTGAATTGCGAACCGACCGACATGCTTGTATCGAATGCATAAAATGCAGATTTCAGAATTTACATGGACCAGTGATTTTAGAATGCTCGTATCGCTAACGAGTTGTCACTAACGAACAACAGCCGCCAACACCAAGGAATAACTACGAGCAGCCAAGAGCAGACCAGTAAGGAGCATGGTAGCTAGGAAGGAGTAAGCACTCGATAGCCGTCACAATGGCACGGTTCAAACCTAATCCTCGTATTCCTGCTTGTATCGGTAACACCTTAGCTTCTCCTCTCGCTGCTGCCGCTCCATCCGTCTTTCGATCTGCTCCGCCCAACCCACCCCCATCCCCGAGCCGCTCCTTCTTCAACTACCTTTTTCCCCCTCCACGTGTCAACCCTGGACCGGAGATTCCACCACCCAAGCCTTCCTATTGGTCGGATCCCGAGTCGCGACTACAGATTTCACCCGTAGAATCATCTAGAGACCTCGCCGCAGCGCCTCTCGCGCCGACGCTACAACCGGGCGAGCTGCCTAGATTAATCGCGAGTCGCGTCGCGTGCATGCGCAGCGGAGAGGTCGTTCTACGCGACATAAACATGAGCGTGTATGAAGGCGACGGTGTGCTTCTAACGGGGCCCAACGGCAGCGGGAAGAGCACGTTCCTGAGATTGGTGAGATGCTCTATAGTGGCCTCAGTGCGTAAAATTCTTTGGTCATCAAAGAATTGGTGGAATTTCATCCTTGGTGGGCTTTATGAAATCCCTCTCTCTGCTTGCTTGCCATGTGTCTCTAGCTGGCAGGCTGGTTTTGAGTCATCTGTCCTCCTTTCCTAATTGTGCACATGTATCCTGCTTATCCACGTGGCTGTCCAGCTGGCAGGGTTCATAAAGCCCACTGCGGGGTATCTGATGTGGCAAGGGCACAGCCTTATGAACCCAGATGTATATGACAGTAAGGAGTGTGACTGTAAAGAGTGGGAGAGTAAGGAGTGTGCTGTCCTTGTAACGAGCGGGACAGTAACGAGCGGGGGAGTGAGGAATGTGAGAGGAATGAGAGTGCAGCTGTGCGAGGCATGCCTGAGGGTTGTGACTGTAACGAGAATGATTGTGAAAGGTCTGCGCCTTTGTTCCTGCATGAATGCATGCTCTATTGCCTGCTCAGCCATGAATGCATGCTCTATTGCCTGCTCATCATATCGTGCTTTGAGTCGACAACAAACACACCATACGCTTTCTGCATGCGGATCATATCTTACACCCTACCTGACTTCCAACCTGACATTCCACCTGGCATGTTGATACCACATGGCATGTGATGGCATGGCATGGCATGGCATGTCACGGCATGGCACGTGATGGCATGGCATGGCATGTGATGGGCAGTGTACCGGGTGAACGTGCATCTGATGGGCGCCAAGGACGCCATCAAGAACTCCTTCACTGTTGATGATAACGTCGTGAGTGCTGCTCCCTGCCCGCCACACCACACCACACCACACCACACCACACCACGAGCCACAGCATCACACCCCCTGGGAGTGAGCGTGCACCTAAGGGGCGCCAAGGACGCCATAAAGAACTCTTTCACTGTTGACGACAATGTGGTGAGTGCTGCTCCCTGCCCGCCACACCACACCACACCACACCACACCACACCTAATGGGAGCCAAGGACGCCATAAAAAACTCATTTACTGTTGACGATAACGTCGTGAGTGCTCCTGCTCTTGCCTCAACCCCGCAGCTCACGCCATGCCACACCATTGCACCGTTTCCCCTCTACCCACTCACCATCAACCTTCCCCGTGTCATCCCACCCCCACCCATCCCTCTTCCAGCGCACGTGGGCATTACTAGAAGGCACGGAGGACAGAGTAGCATGGGCGCTGGAGGCTGTGGGAGGGTGTGACCGTGTGACCCTGTAACGACCCTTCATTTCCTGCTCTCTCATCCACGCCTTCCGCTTTCTCCCCCCATACTCCCCTCCTCTCCCCTCCAGCGCTGCTAGCCCTCTAGGACAGAGTGGGATGGGCGCTGGAGGCTGTGGGAGGCTGCGGCAGTGTGGTTTACATGTGATGTCAGCAGTGTAAGCACTCTTCTTCCCCTCCCCACCTATCTCTCTCCTCCAGCGCACGTGGGCATTACTAGAAGGCACGGAGGACAGAGTAGCATGGTCGCTGGAGGCAGTGGGCCTGAAGCACTTGTCCAGAGAGCCAGCCAGCATACTCAGCATGGGACAGGTGAGTTCTGGGCGGGGTTCTATCTGTAAGAGGTCCATTAGGCGAAGGCTTACATGGGCGCTGGAGGCGGTTGGGTTGAAGCACCTGTCCAGAGAACCAGCCAGCATTCTCAGCATGGGGCAGGTAAGCTCTGCTGGCCGTGTGGGGGAGTTGTCTCGTGGGGGAGGTTCTTTCTGGAAGCGGTTCGTCTCGTCAGGCGAAAGGCTTACATGGGCGCTGGAGGTGGTTGGGTTGAAGCACCTTTTTAGAGTGCCAGCCACTCTACTGCTGCGTTTCTCCTATTCCCCACTCTACCTTCCTCCTCCTCCCTCCCTCCCACACCCTTCTACCAGCGTAAGCGCCTGCAGCTGGCGCGGCTGTTGGCCATAAATGAACCCCGAGCCATGGCACCCCGCTCCCTCTGGCTACTAGATGAACCATCGGGTGGGTTGGACGCGGCTGGCGTTGCGCTGCTGGAGGCAATAACACTCACCTTTATCCCCCCCATACCCCCCTCCTCTTCCCCCTGCTCTTCCCCCACTTCCATCAGCGCAAGCGCCTGCAACTGGCGCGGCTGCTCGCCATACCCCGTTCCCTCTGGCTGTTAGACGAACCATCAGTTGGGCTGGACTTGGCGGGGGTTGAGCTTTTAGAGGGGATGATTGAGGAACACAGGGGCGCGGGCGGCATTGCCTTTGTCGCCACACACACGCCCATCCACCTGTCGAGCTGCTTCCACTTGCGTTTCCCCGTCAGGTAGGTATGGGTCTGGACCTGGCTGGCGTTGAGCTGCTAGAGGGGATGATAGAGGAGCACAGGGGCGCAGGGGGCATTGCCTTTGTCGCCACGCACACGCCCATCCACATGCGACGCTCTGGCCTCTGAGCTAAGCAGGCTATAGGAATACACTCCTGCTTTCACCTCCGCTTCCCTGTCGGGTATGTACCTTTACCGGCCTGCCCTGTGAGGTGCTTGACCCTAATAATGAGGGAAAGCACCTGTGAGCTGCCGGCCCTGCGATGAACCTGCAGGGTGTTTTTTAGAATCTCAACAACACCCTTCCCTGTGAGGTGCATGACCGTAATAATGAGGAAACGCACCTGTGAGCTGCCGTCCCTGCGATGAACCTGACTCTCTAATACATTGGTATTCACATGACCTTGTTGGGTGACCAGCCAGCACCTCCCTGTCAGGTGCTCTGGCAGGTGTTCTGTCAGGTGCTCTGGCAGGTGTTCTGTCAGGTGCTCTGGCAGGTGTTCTCTCAGGTGCTCTGTCAGGTGTTCGACAGGTGTTCTGTCAGGTGCTGTGTTGCCTTGTGTTGCTTTGTCTCCTTGCTGACCACTTCCCGAACCTTCCTCTGCCCTTCCGTGTGTCCGTGCATGTGTGTCTGCTTGTCTCCACGTGTGTGCATGTGTGTCCATGCATGTGTATCCATGGCAACCCTTCACGCGGCCATGTGTGTGAATGCTCACACCATCAGGGACCCACGAACATCTACCATGTGAGAAACTCACTACGTACTGCCCATGGTCTGAGTACGAAGCAATGTGCATATACCCCCTAGGTTGCTCTTGAGGCTAAAAAGGACACGCATATACCACCAGTAGCTAGTGAAGTGATTCTTCTTGAGTCGGCTCCATATCAACAAGGAGTGTATACACACATACTAGCAAGTGAACCAACTAGTTAACTACACGCAA